TATTCATAATTTAATTTTTTCATCAACTATTCAATCTTCAATCATTTCCTCTTTCACTAACAATGGGTATCAGTGCTATCTTCTTAATGTGGGCAGTTCGTGTATGGAGACTTATCTGGCTTTCAATCTTTGGGAAGCAATAGAAGAGGATTATGAGGTCCCTCCGCTTCCAGCAAATCCACTGTCCCTCAAAGGCGAAAGCTTGCCTATTTGCCGCTTATCTCAAATGATCTGCATGCGAATAATGTCCCTCAAAACAGCAAAGGAAATCTGGGATTACCTCACGGCTGAATACGAAGGAGATGAGAGGATTTGAGAGGATTTGTGGAATGAAAGTCCTGAATTTGATTAGGGATTTCGAGTTGCAGAAGATGAAGGAGTCAGAGTCGGTGAAAGAGTACTTTGACAGACTTCTCAGCATCGCCAACAAGGTGAGATTGCTTGGTTCTATATTAAATGATTCCAGGATCGTTGGAAAGCTGCTAGTCACTGTTCCAGAGAAGTTTGAAGTCACCATTACTACTCTGGAGAACACCAAAGACTTGTCAAAGATTTCTCTTACACAGCTCTTGAATGCTTTACAAACACAAGAGCAAAAGAGGTCTATGAGGCAAGAAGGGGTGATTGAAGGTAGATTACTTGTTAAGCATCAAGACAGCAGCAGGTATAAAAACAACAAAAATTTCAAAAATCAATTGACATATGGAGATTCATTTGCCAATTATCAAAAGACAAAAGGAGGAGTTTTCAAAAAATCCTATCCACCTTGCCACCATTGTGAGAAGGTCATCCACCATACAAGTGTTGGAGAAGACCTGATGCCTTCTGCTCCAAATGCAATCAACTTAGATATGAAGCTGTGACTTGCAAAGCCAAAGATCTGGTGAAAGGAGTAGATGCACAGGTAGTTGATCAAGAAGAAGAAGAAGAAGATCAATTGTTTATGGTCACTTCTTCCTCAGGCAAAGAATCAAGCGAGAGCTGGCTGATTGACAGTGGGTGCACAAATCACATGACATATGACAAGGAGTCTTTTGAGGAATTAAGAGACACTAAAGACAAGAGAGTGAGGATTGGCAATGGTGAACACTTGGAAGTCGAGGGAAAAGGCACAGTAGCTATAACAAGTTATGAAGGTACAAAATTTATTCTAGATGTTTTTTTTTTTTTTTTTCCTAAAATTGATCAAAATATCTTAAGTTTTGGTCAGTTACTTGATAAAGGCTATAAAGTGTTGTTTGAGAATAAGCAGTGCTTGATCAAAGATGCTAGTGGCAAAGACTTTTCAATGTCAAAATGGAAGGAAAAATCTTTGCTCTAAATCCGACGGCCTTTATATCCAGAGTTAGTGCTACTGAGATTTGGCACAAAAGACTTAGGCACTTTCATCATCGAGGTTTGCTTCAAATCCAATCAAAGAAGCTAGTAGAAGAACTCACTGACATTGATGAGGACATGCCTCCTTGCCGTACTTGTAATTTTGGGAAGCAACATAGGCAACCCTTTCCTAAACAGGCATGGAGAGGCTTGAAAAAGCTGCAACTGGTTCATACTGATCTTTGTGGTCCAAAGCGAACACCATCATTTATTACACTATTTTTATTGATGATCTAACAAGAATGTGTTGGATCTTCTTGCTGAAGCAAAAGTCAGAATTTGCGAGTGTATTTCGGCAATTCAAAGCCAGAATTGAGAATGAAAGTGCATGCTTGATTCAGACTATAAGATCAGATAATGGCAAAGAGTACACTTTAGAAACTTTTTAACAAGTTTTGTGAAGAGGCTGGAATTGAACATCAATTGACAATCAATTGACAGCATCATACACTCCTTAACAGAATGACGTCAGTGAAAGGAGGAATAGATTCATAATCGAGATGACGAGATGCATGCTTCATGAGAAGGATCTTCCAAAACGTTTTCAGGGAAAAACAACAAACACTATTGTGTGCTTGCAAAATCGAATTTCAACCAAAACTGTGAAGGACCTGACACCATTTGAAGTTTGCATGTTAGAAGAGTCTGAAAATGAACGACAAGATGCTTTGGTTGATGATGCACCTGTCAAAGGAGGAGCTTTCAGTGATCGAGAAAAACAAAATCTGGGAGTTGGTTGATCGACCTCTAAATGGAAAGATAATTAGAGCAAGATGGGTGTTCAGAAAAAAGCTTGGAGTTCATCTAAACAAGGAGTGTTAAAGATCATGTATTTGTTTAGATTGTTGTCTGGTAGTATCTAATTAAATCTCCGTTAGGAGTTAGATTTAGTTTTTGATTTGATTAGATTTTGTTTTGATTTGTTTACTGATTTGTTACCTAAATATCTTTTGTATTCTCTATGTAAATATAGAGCATTCTTGCTGTTTATAATTTAATCTTCTCATCAACTATTCAATCACTCCCTCTTTCACTTACATTTTCATAGAAATCACAATCTAATCATGCATATTCTAACCAAGACAAGATGTGCTTGCATGCTAACATGTCCTAGTAATCCCTATATATAAGTATTTCGTGAGGTCTTTTCGGTCACATTCAACTCTCATACATCTCTTTTTTTGGACTTTGTGTAAGTATCTAAAGAAAGAGAATTGTTGGTTTAGTTCTCCACCTTAACGACAGAAAAAATGATTGATCAAATTCTATTGAGTCATCATTTATCAAAGAATGACTCTAGTTATCAAATGATTGAACAACCGGGAGTAATTTACTTACGATACTTAGTTGACATTCATAAAAAGTATCTAATGAATTATGAGTTCAATACATCCTGTTTAGCAGAAAGACGGACATTCCTTGCTCATTATCACAATCACTTATTCACAAACCTCGTGTGGGGCTAATAGTCTGAATTTTCCAGCTCATGGAAAATCCTTTTCGCTCCGCTTAGCACTATCCCCCACAGACATTCCTTGTTCATTATCACAATTACTTATTCACAAACCTCGTGTGGGGCTAATAGTTGGAATTTCCCATCTCATGAAAACCCTTTTCGCTCCACTTAGCACTATCCGGGATAGGGGTATTTTAGTGATAGGTTCTATAGGAACGGGACGATCCTATTTGGTCAAATACCTAGCGACAAACTCCTATCTTCCTTTCATTACAGTATTTTTGAACAAGTTCCCGGATAACAACCCTAAGGGTTTTCTTATGGATGATAGTGACGATATGGATGATAGTGGCGATATTGATGATAGTGGCGATAAAGAGCCATTCATTTTTGGAAAAAGGTTACACAACATAATTTATTTATTATTTTTTCCTTTTTTTATTTTATCTTTCTAATTATTTAGAATCTATTTAATAGATTTATATATTAAATTAATTTTTAATAAATTAATTATGGTTTATAATTTAATTATCCAATTTGTGGAAATATAAAACCATTAACTCCTTCGATCCACCAATAACCATATATTATACTTATGTTAGCACTCAAAACATCTCTCGATCCTTTCTTTGTTTTTTTCTCCACTCGGATCAATCTGCCTACTCGGCTTCTTATACTTAAAAGTTAGTGTTGTTATGTAACATTATGAAAGAAGATCAGGTAAAATATGCACTTCTTCGGGAATGGAAAAAAATAGATCTACTTTCATTTGTATTTTTTTTTTTTTAGGATTGAATGCATCCCTATAGTCTCATATTTAGTAATTCCCGAACTCTTTCTTATGCACTAAGGATCATCGAAATAAGCAAGAAAGTCACCCCATATTCTGGTTAGACCATGTAAATACTCTTAGCAAGTCTCCTAATCATCCCTACATGGTCGCATCGGTTGGAAGCATTACTAAAACCTCGACAGGTGCACCAATTGGAAGTACCACACAAGCCCCGACACCAACTAAAAGTAGCATTGTTGGAAGTTTATTTGGCTATTAAGAAGTAGAACCTAAGCCAAATTGAATAATTATTTGTAGACAAATTCATTATTTCCTTATTTTTCTTAAATGAAATGATTTTCCTCCATTGTTATCATAAACAAATTGATCATCATGGTCTGTTGGTGTGTGGGCTGTCTCGTAGATGGGTTGATTCTATTCAACTCGATTTTTCACCCGTTTCATGCACTCCGTTTCCTCCGAACTTCGAACTGATTGAGATGAAATATTTGTGAGGAAGTCATGGATTCAACCACCCCTTGTTGACCTAAAAAAAGGCATTGAACCACCCCAAAGAAAAATAATATTTGGTACATATTACTACTAATTGTGGTTGAATCATATTTGATATGGACATTTGTAAGAGGAGAAAACTTTGATCTAAATTAGTTGAACATTCAAATAACACATTTGAACCGAAAGAGGGCTGTGAGCATCATTTCGAAATCGATTAAGATACACCTCATTTCGACATCCATACTATTGGTTGCATGGGGTGGTGGTGATGATAGTGGCTCATCTATCCACTTCTAACAAATAAGATTACTTTTGACATTAAAATTCTCAAATTAGTTTTCCTTTTATTAAGGTATATTGTCAAGAAAGTTTCTCGATAAGTTTATTCGGTATAGTCTCATTTAGTAGATTGTGAAACCGTACCATACTAAAAACAATGTGCTTCATTAAATATTAAAAATATCGTTTTTAATTAAAAAGAATGATTATTTCAATGGTAGAAATAAAAAGTTTATCATAAAAAAGTAGGAAAATCATTCCATTTAAGAAAAAAAATACAAAAATAATGAATTTGTTACCCATAGTGATTCAATTTAACTTAGGTTTAGCCTGTATTAAGCTAATGCAGGCTAACAAAATGTAACACCCGCTCATCGACAATGTAACAGGAGTTATCATCGATATTGATAACAAACTCTGATATCCAAACATAAATTTCAAAATATTTCTACAAAAAAACATTCAGTAAAAACATTTAAAACCAGTACTTTTTAAAACTTAAAACGATCAAAGTAAATTCTTTACAACGAAAAGCATAATTACATAAACAGACCCAGACATGGATTCCCAGTAGTCTCTAGCCCGCTGGTCTCATCCTCGGTTGGCCTGCATCATCTAAATCTGGTTTCAAGGTGTTTTTAAGTTTTATTCGTCATTGACTCCTAGTTTCTCTTACTAGGGTCATCTGTTCATTAACGAGGTATCTCAGTTACCTCCAGCCTAGGTTATTAACTCTCTTTTGATATGCTTATCTAGAATTTTTGAACTCGTATGTAAGACTCGCTCTCGGTCAAATACGACTCGTCTACTAATTTCTCTGACGGCCTGTTTATCTCATATACCAACGGTTAGGAGTACTCATGCTCCCTGACTTAGCACACAGCGCGTTGGTCAGGAACTCCGCGGGAATTAGTAGACTATCATACTCATATAAATAAGTCATGGCTCAACAACCAATAAGCATATCCTAGAGTCATAACCTTTCCATTAACATGCATAACATACTCACATTTGCTGCATGCTTTCATACATTTATCATGTTCAACACATAGAACATTTTGGCAATAATTTATACCATGCTTACATCACAGGCAAGCAGTCACAATATACAATAAACATTCAATATCGTCAAAGCTCATATTAACATACTAAGCTCTTAATCAAGTAAACAGCATACTCACATGTTGTAAAGCAAGTTAAGAACTAGTTCAAAGTTCGATATGCTACTTACTTGGTTTCGAACTCCTTTTTCCCCTTGAATGTACGTTTAATAGGTATTCCAACACAATTTCTTCCTATTAGACCTATATTTTACCAATTTCAACATAAGTATAGACCAATTTTGATAGGACAGGTCAAAATGAGTCGAACGGGACAAACCGGGAGCCAAAATACCTTCTCACGCGCCCTCACGCGCCAACACAAGTTTGGGGAATAGTTTCTCACGCGCCTGATCCGCGCACAGTCGCACTTTCACTCGCGGCCTCCCATGCGCCTCGCTTGTCCCTCACGCGCTCGTCTTCAACCTCTGTTTCCTGCAATTTTTCCCAAACTTTTTCTTTAATACCCGTTGTGTCCCGAAGCAATATTTCATCTCTACAGCTCGGATTTCGTTCTGATTTCTTCTACAACTTTATAGATCTCCTAATTACGGTTCTAACAAGCCCTATTTCATAATTTATTATGCAATATGAACCAAGATATCGAGATTTAAAAGTTCGATGATATGAGTTTTTCGTTACCTTCGAATAACTGTCCGATTCAGCTCATGGCCTTATTATACAAAATACATATTATCATTATTTTAGGTTATTACACAAAATTTCAATGTGAAATAGTGCTAACACTATTTGGAGTTTGTTGGCAATTAGAAACATCAACACAGATGACACTGCTCTTTGAACACTCACATTTGGGCTATTTGGAGTTTGTGGTATTATAGTCATGCCCTAAACTGGTTAAAACTAGAAGCAGCAGTCTTTTACGTGTGTCATAATAAAAGTATGTCGATGGAGAGTCCAGTTGTGCAGTTTGCTGGAGGAAGAAGTCAAGGTCGTGGAAGCATTAGAGGCAGAGGAAGGGGACGAGGCAAACAAACCTTCAACAAGGCCACAGTGGAGTGCTATAACTGTCACAAGCTAGGACATTTTCAATGGGAATGTCAAAGCAATACCAGACGATGCAGACAAACCTTCAACAAGGCCACAATGGAGTGCTATAACTGTCACAAGCTAGGACATTTTCAATGGAAATGTCAAAGCAAGGAGAAGGAGACAAACTATGTAGAGACTCAAGAAGAATGTCGCTGATGGCTTACGTGAATATGAATAAGACCAATAGAGAAGATATGTGGTTCCTTGGCTTGGGATGTAGCAATCATATGTGTGGGAAGAAAGAATATTTTTCAGATTTTGATGGAAGTTTCAGAGACTCAGTGAAGCTGGGCAACAACTCAAGCATGGTTGTAACCGGAAAGGGTAATGTAAGGCTACAAGTGAATGGAATCATAATGATAATCACAAGAGTGTTCTATGTGCCACACCTGAGGAACAATTTGTTGAATATTGGTAAATTGCAAGCAAAGGGGGTTACCTTTTTGTTTCAAAATGGAACGTGCAAGGGGTTTTAACTTGAGAGAGGCTTAATCATGAAGACAAAGATGTCCTCAAATCGAATGTTTGCATTGCATGCTATACCTCAGCCTGTAGCATCCACTTGTTTCAATACAATCACAGAAGATATTGAGCAACTTTGGCATTGTAGATATGGACATTTGGGCTTTAAGGGATTAAAGACTCTTCAGCGAAAGAAGATGGTGGATGGTTTACCACAACTCAAGTCTCTATTGAAACTGTGTAAAAATTGTCTAATGGGTAAGCAACAAAGACACTCGTTTCCAAAAAGGAGCACATGGCGAGCTTCAAAAATTCTCCAATTGGTTCATGCTGATATTTGTGGACCAATCAAACTCATAGCAAGAGAAGGTACTTGATTACTTTCATAGATGACTTAAATAGAAAAATATGGGTCATTTCTTAATAGAAAAATCAGAAGCCTTTGCTGTATTTAAAAACTTTAAGATTCATGTTGAGGAGGAAACAAACTCATTTATTAAAGCCTTACAAACGGATCGAGGAGATTCATGTTGAGAAGGAAACAAACTCATTTATTAAAGCCTTACGAACGGATCGAGGAGGAGAGTTTACATCACAAGAATTCACCAATTTTTGTGATGTAAATGGTATACATAGACAACTGACAGCTGCATACACGCCACAACAGAACGGAGTTGCAGAACGGAAAAATAGAACTATTATGAATATGGTTCGTAGTATGATGTATTGAATCGAAGTCAAGTATTTTAGAGTTTTTGGATGTATCTCTCATCAGATACCACAATGTTGGGAAAGAAAACGGGAAAGATTAGATAAATGGGAAGAAATCTCACCTTTCATTGAAGAGAAAACGGAAAAGATTAGATAAATTGGAGGAAATCTCACCTTTTGTTGAAGTATGAAATTGGCTATTATATAGTATTGCATCAGATAAATTGGAAGAAATCTAATCCAAATAACTAAATCTAAATCAATCCTAAGAGGCTACTTGTGTGGAGTTTGGTGAGGTCTTTTTGGATTTTGTGTAAGTAGTCTTAAGTGGTTAGAATATGCATGATTAGGACGATAGGGATAATTTTGGATTAAAATACAATATATATAATTAAAATTACGAAAATGCCCCTAAGTTGTGATTTCTATTATGCATGTTGTTTTTAATTCTCTATATTTGCTATAAAGGAGGATGATATATTGTGATTTGTGCTCCGATTGATAGATGCAGTTTCCACATTGACCTAGGTCAATACATTTTCGGTAGACCGAACATCATAGGATCGTGAGCGGTGATCAACAATAGATAGTACTCCATTTTTAATGCCAAAGTCACTAAATAGGTCGTTAAATATACATGTCCAAAAATGGAGTGATTTGAGATCACATCCATATTAAAGCCTTGATTGTACACTCTAATCACAAAAACTTGTTTAAGCTTCATAATTTTGAGATTATCCTCCAATAATCACAGCCTAGGCATGCAATATTTGGGTACAAGATAAAATTGATTTAGAGACCTAAAAGTTAATGGATATCTCATTGGATTGTTGTGGATTGATAATTCCATTGGATAACAAGTAGATTGTGAAACAATACCACATGTTCAATTCATTTACGATAAAAATGTTACCAAATCAATCCATTTAAGAATACAAGAATACAAAATAGTGATTAATTTGCTACTCATAATTGCTCCCCATTGGTGTTGGTGCTTGTGTGCTACTTCCAAGTGGTGTAGAGGTTGGAGTTTTAGCGATGCTTTCGACCGATGTAGTCTCCTCTGGAGTTTCAGCGACGCTTCCGGCCGACGCAACCCCCTTCGGAGTTTCAGCGACGCTTCCGGCCGACGGAGTTTCAGCGACGCTTCCGGCCGATGCAACCCCCTTCGAAGTTTCAGCGATGCTTCCGGCCGATGCAACCCCCTTCGGAGTTTCAGCGACGCTTCCGGCCGATGCAGCCAATGGAGTTTGTGTGTCAGGTGTTCCAAAGGCACGAAATGAAAATCGACGACCGAGTCTTTCCTCACCGGTGACATCATCAAAAGTGACACCTACCTTCACATAATATTGCAAAACAATGACTAAGAAAAGGGTGTGAAAGAGCTTGAAACCTTTCGCCATGACCATGGTGAAATGTAAGTTGTGGGGTTACAAGCTCGTTTCACAAATGATAAAGAGTAGCAATAGCTAAGGTGTGAATGCTTGAATTTTCTGATAATATGAAACCCTTGATAGGAAAACGATATATAGAAAAGACATCAAATTTAGAGTCTCTCAAACTTTGTGGGTTTTGGAGTATTCTAAATATTCCAAATATAGAATGTTGTATATTTTTAAACAAAAACATATAATTGTTAACCTCTCACCGTTTTCACCCAACTCCAGCAACCTCGAATCCTTAGTCTCAAGGCCTAAACCGACTCGAACCCTTAGTCTCAAGGCCTAAACCGACCAACCAACTCCGTGAAACCCTTAGTCTCAAGGCCTAAATCGACCAACCAACCACTGACCTCAATACGTTCGCCCCAAAGCAAATTGACGCCACAGTTGAACTATGAAATCGGATTTTTGGAGAATCTTCAATCTACCTCCACCATCGTCCAACAACCACAAAACTTTGCAAGAGAGAAAATGCAGAAAAACGCACAACGAGGGTGAAGAAGACGAGTCCATCAGACCCGAATCCAGGTCGGACCCATTTGTGACCCGATACCCACAGCCCACGAGTTTTCTTTTAATATATTAACTTTAATGACATAATGAGTCCATGGTAAGATAATAATTATCATATATGATTCTTAGTGTAATGAAGTTAATGAGTGTGTAAATGTTTCTATTAATTAAATTAATTAAAATAGTGATTCTGTACTAGTTGAGTTAGTTTAATAGCCACAGAGACTTCCATACCCCAATGCTTTCCATACCGAACAATGTTACTCTCAACTCGTGTAAGGGCTTGTGTGCTTCAATTAGTGCAATAGTTGGAATTTGAGCCATGCTTGCAAACGGTGGACCCTCTCGAATTAAACAGTGAAAATTAAAAAATTTCTTTTAGAAAGGTGAAAATTTTATTAAAAATGTAAAAAGAAAAACATTATCAAGGCATAAATAAATTATAAATATATATTTTACATCGGTTAAATAAGTTATTAATAATATATTTTAGGGAAAAAGTAAATTAAAATCTTAGTCATAAAGTGAAATTTTTATAATAAATTTGAATAAAATATTAAATTTTCTTTTTAAAAAGAATAATTAAAACAATATCTTTGTAGTGTATTAAATTTTATGTTAGACCTGTATTAATGCATTAATAAATTCATTGGATATGGTATCATTTAATAGATAGGGAAACCATACCAGCTTCATTTAATATTAAAAATATAATTCTTTAATTAAATTAAAAAAATTAAATATGAGAAAAAAAAATAAGGTAGGTAAATCATTCTATTTAAAAAAATATATAGAAATAATGAATTTATCTACAAAAACAGCGATTCAGTTTTGTTTAGGTTTTGCCTTCTTGCTACTCTCCAACTCTCCAACTAGTGTCGAGGCTTGTGTGCTACTTCCAGTTGGTGCAATGGTTGAGGCTTGTCTAATTGGTGCAATGGTTGGGCTCCCAACCGGTGCAACCCCCTCCAGGGTTTCAGCGATGCTTCCGACCGACGCAGCTCCCTTCGAAGTTTCAGGGATGCTTCCAGTCGATGGGGCTTGTGCGTCATGTGTTCCAAAAGTACGAAATGAAAATCGACGACCGAGTCTTTCTTCACTGGTGACATCGTCAAAAGTGGCACCTACCTTCACACAACATTGCAAAGCAATGACTAAGAAAAGGATGTGAAAGAGCTTGAAACCTTTCGCCATGGCTATGGTGAAATGTACTCAAGTTGTAGGATTACAAGCTCGTTTCACAAATGATGAAGAGTATCGGTGGCTAATGGATGCTTGAATTTTTCTGATGATAACGTGAAACCCTATATATAGTTTGATGGAAAAACTATATTTAGAAAGAGACCCTTATATTTTGTGGGTTCGAGAGTATTCCAATTTTAGAATGTTTAACTGCTTCATTTCTAATTTCTCTCTTCATTTGAACGTGGGCGAGAATAATTATATATTTTTTTAAAAAAAAATATAACCTTTTAAATGATATATTATTTTATTTTATGAACTCAATATTATTCTATAATATGGTTGACCTACTATTTCATATCTCTAAAAAAAAAAAAAAAACACATGATTTTTAAGGAAAATTTTAAAAATAACATAATTTTTTTTTTGAAATAAAGTAATTATTAAATGGATTTAAATTTTTGTCTTTTTATGTCAACATTTTTCTTAGTGTGAAATAGACGAAAAGAAATGAATATATAATATAAAATATTTAAAATGGACGGTATCATTAAAGTCAAATTATGTGGGGGATTGGAGAGGAAAACGAAACATTCTTTATAAGTGTGTGAAAACCTTCCTAACACAGATGCGTTTTAAAAACCTTAAGAAACTCAAAAGGTACACATTGTCATTTAAATTGGCCATACACCTCTAGACGCACGTGACCTACTGACATAAGCTCTAAGAACATAGTAAACCTTCATGACATCTGTGGATGACTAAGAAAGTTCACCCAACTTACTAGCCGTGTGAACTGGAATGTGTATTATCTATACAAGTGATCTTTCAATAGAGAAAATCCGTCGACCTAAGACAAGATGAAGAGAAGGGTCTACCTATTTTATTTTGTTATTGAGTTAAACCAATGATTAGTTATTATAACAGATAGAAACAAACATTTCATCCGAGAAAAGCCATATTTTTCTCAATAATGTCTTTGTCATTTGATTCGGTTAGATAGGAACAAATTTGATAAATGTTGATAACTTTCGGATGGAGTATTAGAATGGAAAAATCCATTAGATAGTGCTTATGTGGCATAATTCATACTATCTCTTTTCAAAGAAAAAAAAGAGAGAGAATCTGATATGAACCAAGAGACATCAATCATGTAATATAGTTCAATGAATATGTGAAGTAAATATTGTTGAAATTATCAAAAGATATTTCAATTCCTACTTTCATGTTATAAATTTTGGGTGGATTATAATTTAGAGAGTAATTTAGAGTTATTGTATTTCATTAATGTATTTTAAGACTTTTTATTTACGTTAGGTTACAATTACATCATGGTTAATAGGTTACAATTACATCATGGTTAATTATGACCATTAAGTATGAATGTTATCATTCTTGGAACGCCTTTAATAGTTTCATTTTGAGGCTATATAGAGTCATGTATTATGTTGTATTTGTAAGTAGACTTTGAAAATGAAGGGTCTGTGCTTCTTTAGCGAATGACTAAGTTTCTTTGCAATTCTATATAGTTTTGGTGGTATGTAGAATCATTCAAGCTAAACATGATCGATCTTGCTTTGTGGAGTGATTCGAATATCAGAATCTCAAACAATGTTCTTGCCTTAGAGATATCCCAACCACCCAAGTAAAGAACCGTTACAAATAACGAAGAAACTAATAGATTTAGATAGGAAGCAACATAAAATAAACCAAATTTGATACCCGAATACTCGGTTTGATAACCCGCTACTTAGATAGGAAGCAACATAAAATAAACCAAATTTGATACCCGAATACTCGGTTTGATAACCCGCTACTAATTCTTCTTCCGCTTCTGGTAAATCAAAAGGTAATCTCTCGCATTCTGCTAAGGAAGAAATTAGAAAAATAACAAACCCTATAGGTTGACGCCACAAATTCCACCCCCAAAAACCATACTTTCATTGAGCCTCAACTATATCAACTGTACTCGAACTCAACTGTACTCGAACTCTTAGATAATCATAGTCAGTAATAACATCACTGTTCTCATCGCTATTACAGAACCATACATGAGATTTTCACCTCATACGGCTCCTTGAGGGCCATAAATAAATCTAAGGAGCGTGTCGGGATTATTTATCTTAATATGTCTTTTTTGTAGAAGAGTATAGGATAAAAATCTATCGGATCATAATCCGTTCCATACTTTCCCTTGATTTCGGAAGTTTTTCTACTCCTTCCCTTTTTTCAGAAGAAAAGGAGGATCTGGACAAAATCGATGAAATGGAAGTATGGATAAATATGGAAAGGAATCCGAGTGAATGGGAAGGAAGATAAATATGTAGATTTAAAAAGGCCCAGTTTTAAGAACTAAAATGACTAGTATGCATCAAAAGGTGCCCGATTCTTAAGGGATACAATTTAATGGGTTGATTTCTTGATTCATTGTGACTCATTCCCATTTGTAAATAACTTGAATATCACTAACTTGTATTGATTTTCGATTTGCTTTTGTCTGCTTCGAGATTTCAAACCTAGAAAAAATAAATTAATTGACTCCATTTAAAATTAAACAAAATAATATTAGGACAAAATCTGATGTTCAATTCATTTATGATAAAAAGGAAAAAATAGTAACATCATTCCATTCAAGAAAAAGGAATAATGAATTTGTTTACAAAATAGTAGTTATTCAGTTTGGTTTAGGTTTTCATGTGCTCAATGCTTCTCTTAATTGCTCCCAATTGGTGTGGGGGCTTGTGTGCTACTTTCATTTGGTATATTGGTTGGGGTTTCAGCGATGCTCCCACCCGGCGCAGCCCCCTTTGGAGTCGACGCAGCTCCCTCGGGAGTCTCAGCGATGCTTCCACCCGACGCAGCCCCCTTGGGAGTCGACGCAGCACCCTCCGGAGTCTCAGCGATGCTTCCACCCGACGTAGCACCCTCCGGAGTTTCAGCGATGCTTCCACTCGATGCAGCACCCTCCGGAGTTTCAGCGATGCTTCCACTCGACGCAGCACCCTCCGGAGTTTCAGCGATGCTTCCACTCGACGCAGCACCCTCCGGAGTTTCAGCGATGCTTCCACTCGACGCAGCACCCTCCGGAGTTTCAGCGATGCTTCCACTCGACGCAGCACCACCCGATGCAACACCCTCAGAAGGTGCAGCCGCTGGGACTTGTGTGTCTTGTGTTCCAGATGTACGATATGAAAATGAACGATCAACATTGACATCACCAGTGACATCGCCGAAAGTAGCACTTACCTTCACACAACATTGCAAAGCAATCACTAAGAAAATGGCATGAAAGAGCGCCATGGCCATGATGAACTGTCTTTAAGTTGTAGAGTTACGAGCTCGTTTCACAAATGATGATTATTAGCAATGATGAAGATGTGGGTGTTTGAATTTTTCCGATAATGTGAAACCATATATATAGTTTAACGGAACACTATATTTAGCAAAGACTACCAAATTTAGAGAGGCTCTCAAATTTTGTGTATTTTAGAATATTCCAAGTTTAGAATGTTTGACTACTTACGTATTTTTAACCGTAAGTATAGATTTAATATTTAATTTGCATCATAACTCAATTTTTAGGTATAAAAATTACAATTATTTTTTATTATCTAATAAGTTTATTTGTAAAATTTCTATATTTTAAAATTAGTTTAGTAACTAAAAAGTTTAATTGATATTTTTTAGGCTAATTCCATTTTAGTATGTTCATATTTGGACTTGAATTTTCAATAAATCTTGGAATTTATTATTTCCTTATCATTAATTTTTTTTTGGTAAAATAGTAATAATAATTTTAAACAAAAACATATAATTGCTCTGTTGATATGTAATAAATTGATTATTATTTTATATCATATAGTCAATATTGTTCTATAATATTGTTGTAAAAGTAGCGTGTGAAAATCTGGGTAAAAAGCAAGCTCGGAAAGGCTTGTGTCGCCTAAGTAATTAGTCATTCAGACTTTTTTTTAAAAAAATAATTATAGAGATCAGTAGGACACGTTGGCATGCAAGTACTTTCTCGGTAATTTTGAATCACAATACAATGTATGCTATGAAAAATTACGAAAATACCCCTAGGTTAATATTTTTATGATGCATGTTGTTTTTAATTCTCTATGTTGTGCAAGAAAAGAGGATATGATATTGGGATCTGTGCTTCCGAGTGATTGAAGAATGTTTTCTCCCTATCAAGCTTGCATGATTCGTGCTTTAGGTGATCGATAGAATTATGAAAAATTACGGAAATACCCCTATGTTAATATATTTACTATGCATGTTGTTTTTAATTCTCTATGTTGTGCTAGAAAGGAGGATATGATATTGGGATCTGTGCTCCGGAGTGATTGATGAATGTTTTCTCCCTATTAAGCTTTCATGAATTATGAAAAATTACGAAAATACCCCTATGTTAATATTTTTACGGTACATGTTGTTTTTAATTCTCTATGTTGTGCTAGAAAGGAGGATACTATATTGGGATCTGTGCTCCGGAGTGATTGATGAACTTTTTCTTCCCGTTAAGCTTGCATGAATTATGAAAAATTACAAAAATACCCATATGTTAATATTTTTACGATACATGTTTTTAATTCTCTATGTTGTGCTAGAAAGGAGATACATGTTGTTTTTAATTCCCTATGTTGTGCTAGAAAGGAGGATACGATATTGGGGTCTGCTCCCAAGCGATTGATGAATGTTTTCTCCCTATTAAGCTTGCATGAATTATGAAAAATTACGAAAATACCCCTATGTTAATATTTTTACGATACATGTTGTTTTTAATTCTCTATGTTGTGCTAGAAAGGAGGATACGATATTGGGATCTGTGCTCCCGAGTGATTGATGAATATTTTTTAAGCTTGCATGATTGATTAGATTATGAATTCCGTGCTTTAAGTGATCGATAGAATTATCTCTTTAACCAAGCATGCATAAATGAACCAAGTTAAGTTTAGAGTGCTTGAGTTAGAGCTCCTAGAAAGTGAAGTAGCCTTGATGAGTTAGTTTCGAATGTCCTGAAAATGTGAGATGAGATTTAAGCTGCCAAGACCCTCTAAAAACTTAGTTAACCTTCATGACATCTATGGATGACTATGGATGACTAATTGTTGTGTTGTCTGAGCCCTAATGAGCTATTCATGGTACTTCCGTTGATAAAAGGTTTGGAGGCTTGTGTGCTACTATTGGCTGTTGCACCCTCGGGGGTTTAGGGGGTTTGGGTTTGAACAATGCTTCCAAACGTTACACCCTCCGAAGTTTGAGCAATGCTTCATAGGTTGAGACCATGAGAAACTATTATATTGTCTAAGTATGTGATTTACAAACCAAATATGCTAGATACCATATCAAGTTAGGGTTTAGGTTGTGCATTAGATACTGCTCTATTTTATGATATGTAATCAATATCATACAATATGACAATATGATGTTGTTACCATATAGGGACGGTAGAGAACTCGCCAACTCATCCTCAAATGTGGAATTGATTAAGGCCTACTTTAAGACCACTTATTAAGTATTCTTGTACACATTCATATAACCAATTTAATTTAGAATATAAGTAAATATTTTTATCGAGTACTCATGAATTAAGATAGAAAATTAAATATGAGAAAATATAAGAAAATCATTCCATTAAGGAAAAAAATATATAGAAATAATGAATTTGTCTACAAAATAGTCATGAGGCTAGGTTTTCTTTGTTATTAGCCAAAGAAACCTCCAATGCTTTCAACTTCTGTCGGGTCTTGTGCTCTACCTCCAATTGGTGCAATGGTTGGGGTTTCGGCAATGCTTTCGGTCGAGGGAGCCCCCTCCGGGGTTTCGGCAATGCTTCCGGCCGAGGGAGCCCCCTCCGGGGTTTCGGCAATGCTTCCGGCCGAGGGAGCCCCCTCCGGGGTTTCGGCAATGCTTCCGGTCGAGGGAGCCCCCTCCGGGGTTTCGGCAATGCTTCCGGTCGAGGGAGCCCCCTCCGGGGTTTCGGCAATGCTTCCGACCGACGGAGCCCCCTCCGGGGTTTCGGCAATGCTTCCGGCCGAGGGAGCCCCCTCCGGGGTTTCGGCAATGCTTCCGGCCGAGGGAGCCCCCTCCGGGGTTTCGGCAATGCTTCCGGCCGAGGGAGCCCCCTCCGGGGTTTCGGCAATGCTTTCGGCCGCCGAGGGAGCCCCCTCCGGGGTTTCAGCAACGCTTCCGACCGAGGGAGCCCCCTCCGGGGTTTCAGCAACGCTTCCGACCGAGGTATCCCCCTCCGGGGTTTCAGCAACGCTTTCGCTCGAGGTATCCCCCTCCGGGGTTTCAGCAACGCTTTCGCTCGAGGTATCCCCCTCCGGGGTTTCAGCAACGCTTTCGCTCGAGGTATCCCCCTCCGAGGTTTCAGCAACGCTTCCGACCGACGGAGCCCCCTCCGAAGTTTCAGCAACGCTTCCGACCGACGGAGCCCCCTCCGGAGTTTCAGCAACGCTTCCAACCGACGGAGCCCCCTCCGGAGTTTCAGCAACGCTTTCGCCCGAGGTATCCCCCTCCGGGGTTTCAGCAACGCTTCCGACCGACGGAGCCTCCTCCGGGGTTTCAGCAACGCTTCCGACGGATGTATCCTCCTCTGGGGTTTCAGGAATGCTTCCAACCGATGTATCCTCCTCTGGGGTTTCAGGAACGCTTCCGACCGATGTAGCCCCTTCTGGGGCTTCAGCAATGCTTCCGACCGATGCAGCCGCTGAGACTTGTGTGCTACTTCCAATTGGTGCAATCATCGGGGCTTGTGTGTCATGTGATCCAAATGCACGAAATGAAAATTGGCCGTCGAGATTTACGTCACCAGTGACATCACCAAAAGTGGCACCCACCTTCGTACAACATTGCAAAGCAATCAATAAGAAAAGGGTGTGAAAGAGCTTGAAACCTTTCGCCATGGTCATGGTGAAATGTCTTCAAATTGTAGGGTTACAAGCTCGTTTCACAAATGATGAAGAGTAGCAATGGCTAATAGATGCTTGAATGTTTCCTATAATGTGATACCCAATATATAGTTTGATGGAAAAACTATATTTAGAAAATGGCTTTCGAAGGGTATTCCAAATATAGAATGTTTGACTATTAGCTCCCTTCCTCCCTTCCTTTGAGGTAATTATGTGAAAATCTTGCTTAGTTTTTTTGTTTGAAAATTATGTTTAAGCTTTTAATATCTCTAAAAAATACAAAATGATTTCTAAGCTAAATTTCAAAAATAACATCAAAATTTTCAAAACTATTTTAAAATTTTTAACATTTGGAATAAAGTAATTATTCAATGGATTTGAATTTTTGTCTTTAATATTAACATTTTTCTTAGGTGTACAATAGATGGAAATGAATATATAATATAAAATATTTAAATTGGGCATACATTTAAAATGAATTATATCATCAAAGTCATATTATCATTTAAATTGACCATACACCTCCCCCTATTCGGAGTTGCCTCGGCTCATTCATCTGTTTTTTGTTTCATTTTTTAAATTCGATTTGCAACGTTGCATCTCATCTTGTCATCTCAATCCCCATCGACATGGTCCATATGTCTTGATGCCATCTCGAGTCTTAGGGTGTCGTCGGCCATCACAACTCGTTCGGTCATGCTATTGAGAACGGGCCCACGTGTCGCTCATCTCATTGGGACTTCTCGAACATCCATCCATCCAGGTTCTATCGAGGCATTGGCTCTCCCGTGCCCATGCTGTGTCATTTACAGATACCGTGCTGAATAGCGGGTGTATGTAGCAACCTTCAACACGCGGGCTGGGGCGCAATACCGGCACACCTGTGCCACCCGGTACTATCCTTGAAAAATCTATTTCAAAGGAAGTTGCCTTAGACACTCTATCGGCACGCTCGCCCACGCTGTGACACACGTATGTGCCACAGGGTAGCTCACTTAGGCCACAGGGCCCAGGGGTACCAAGAGCAAGCTCTAAAAAGTGTGTCACCCAAGTAAATAGTCATTCAGACAAATACGAGCACATCTTGTCTTTATTTTTATGATGCATGTTTTTATTTTTAATCCTCCCTGATGTGCTATTGTGCTCCGAGTGATTAATAGATGTTTTCTCCTCCTTAAACTTGCATAATTGATTAGGTTATGAATTTCGTGCTTTAAGTGTTCGATAGGATTATCTCTTTAACCATTCAAATTAAGTTTAGGGCGCTTCAGTTAGGGCAATTTCCAATATTGACCTAGGTCAATATATTTCCAATAGGCCAAGCACTCTAGGAGTGAGCGACGACGATCAATGATCAAGACCTTAGTGCTCTTAAAAAGTGGATTAGCCCTAAGGAGCTAGGTTCGAGCATCCTAGAAATGTGAGCTATCTATGGATGACTACGAAAACTCATCCAGCTACTAGCAATGTGAACGATATTACCAAACTTCAATTGGTACACGCAAGAAATAGGCCAATTCGGCAGCCTTTTGCTCAATTTTTCGTGGGATCAGATTCTGATCGGTACGAGTCAAAGGAATGGCCCCTTGGCCTCTGATTTCCATAAAAAGGACACGTCCCCTTGGCCTCTGATTTCCATAAAAAGGACACGTCCCCTTGGCCTCTGATTTCCATATAAAGGACACGTCCCCTTGGCCTATGATTTCCATATAAAGGACACGATGTGCATAAATATCCTCTTTAACTACTATTTTTCGTTAGGGGTTTCCTAGAAAAAATAGCCGAATCTTCCTCCGATTCCTTACGAAAGACATTCAGTCGAAGCCAAAGAAGCCCAGATCACTTCCAATTTCTTTTCCCAAACTCATTTGTATATAATTTGAATGGCTTTTTTTTTCTTCTTCTTTTTGTTTTTAATTGTAGTGTTCGTTTGTTTTAAATTGCACAAAATGTTGTTATATTATTAATATACATGTCATAGAGAGAGTTGAGTGATATCAAATTAGAGAGAAACTACAAAAACCAAATAATGAATTTTTTTTTTAATTTTTTTTTATAGGAATACAATAATAATGAATTTGTTACCAACATCGATTCAATTTAGTTTTTAGCTTTGCTAATGCAGGCTTAGTGCTAACACTATTTGGAGTTTGTTGGGCATTAGAAACATCAACACCGATGACACTGCTCTTTGAAGTTTGGATACCACAAGAATTGGTCTTGCTCTTTGTAGTGTCGATACCACGATGATTGGTCTTGTCGTGCATTCTAATTTCTCGAGCAACAAAATAGACGGTGCTACTTCCAATAACCCTTAGAAGCAAGATCAATGTTATTGCTACTTCCAATAGGTGTAGCTGCTGGGACTTGTGTGCTACCTTAGGTGGTTGTGAAATACCGCAACTGCTGGAGCTTGCATGTCATGTGGTTCAAAAGTACAAAATGAAAATTGACGATCCTGATTTACAGTATCAGTGGCATCACCAAAAGTGGCACCCACCTTCGCATCACATTACAAAGCAATCAATAAGAAAAGGGTGTGAAAGAGCTTGAAACCTTTCGCCATGGCCATGGTGAAGTGTCTTCAAGTTGTAGGGTTACAAGCTCGTTTCACAAATAATGAAGAGTAGCAATGGCTAAGCTGTGAGTGCTTGGATTTTTCTGATAATGTGAACCTCTACATATAGTTTCACCGGAAAATTATATTAAATTTAGAGTCTCTCAAATTTGGTGGATTTCGGAGTATTTCAAATATAAAATGTTTAATTAAACAATTTTAAAGAAAATTACATTCCATATAGTCTAATAATATGAGTTTTTTAAATAAAAATATATATAATTTCTATTTTATATTTTTTAGATCAAAATATTAGTTGGTGCAGTTTTTGGTGATTTCATTCCCAAATTAAATTTTGAATTTTCAATAAATCTTTAATCATTTTCTTATAAGTAAATTTTTATCCAACTCGGTAAAATAAAAAAATAAAAAATAAATAAAAACATGTACTCTGTACCATTCATACAAACCTATATCGAACATGAGGAAGAATGAGGTTGTAAGTGTAGTTGTGAGACCATGTTTGAGATCATGAAAAACAACAAGGTAATTGCAATTCTTTGTAATTTTCGGACCACGTTTGAGACTATAAAAACAAATAAGATTGTCGTCGTTCTTTGTAATTCTGGAACCATGAGAAACAACATAGTTGTTGCCACTCATTATAGTTTCGAGACCAAATAATAAGGTTGTTGATATTTTTATAGTTTTCAGATCATGAAACACAATAAGGTTGTCGTCACTCTTTGTAATTTTGATCATATTTGAGACCATGAAAAAAAAATTTGTTGTCCTTTTTAAATCCAAGACCATGTTTGAAACCATGAAAAATAATAAGGTTAGCGTCATTTCTTAGTAGTTTTAAGACTGTGAGAAACAACAACGTTGTCATGACTCTTTGTAGCTCCAAGACTGTGACAAACATCATTGCTTATAGATAGACCTTAAACAATATCGGATAGAGCTTAATAACGACGAGAAATACATGTTGAACACAACTCTCTGTGGGAAACACTCGCACTCTTTATTAAGACCAATCGAGAAGAGAATACATGACATTATGTAGAATACTACTATTCTTTGTTGTTTTTGGATTTCTTGGATGAATAATCTAGGTAGGGTGGAGGGGTATTTATACTAGAGCCTACGCAATTGGACCTAACAAATCTAAATCTGTACCTAACAAATTTGAATCTTTTTCCTAAACATATGGTATCTTTCCTAAAATCTCTGCTAAAATAAATATACAATGGGCTCGTACTATTATTGGGCTAGTGATGATATTTCAACACTCCCCTTCAGCACTAGTCCTCATTCGCTGCACCATGTTGAGTTGACAGCGAAAACTCTCATGTTTGCCAGTATTCAGCCCTTTTGTAAACAAATCTGCCACTTGGTCATCTGTCTTGATCTGCTGCATCTCGATTTCTTCCTTTAGAACCTTCTCTCTAATGAAATGGTAGTGCACCTCCACATGGTTTGTTCTAGCATGAAACACCGGATTTTCTGCTAGGCGAATCATAGATTGGTTGTCGCAAAGAAGTGATATTGGATAGTCAATTTTATGGTGCAAATCTTCCATCAAGAGTTTCAGCCATGTACTTTCTTGAGCTGCTCCAGCCGCTACTCTATACTCTGCTTCTGTAGTTGATAATGATACTGTTGGTTGTCTCTTCCTACACCAAGAAATTGTTCCCGAACCAAACTTGAACACATACCCAATGGTTGACCTTCGAGTATCGTGGTCTCCTACACAGTCAGCATCACAGTATCCAACTAGTTTGCAATCTTTGCTTCTTTTGTACAAAAGACCATAGTCGATTGTACCTTTGACATATCTCAAGATCCGTCGAACTGCATCCAGATGAGGCTTCTTTGGATTTTGCATGTATCGACTCATAACCCCAACTGCATAAGAGATATCAGGCCGAGTTAAAGTTAGGTAGATAAGACTACCTACTAGTTATCGGTATGTTGTTTCATCGTTCAACTCTTTGCCTTCATGTGCACAAATCTTGGCATTTGTCTCCATCGGTGTTGAAACTTGCTTGCACTCTAACATGTTGAACTTCTGAAGCATATCTCTTGTATACTTTTGTTGGCAGAGAAACAATCCTTCATCTGTGCGATCAACTTCTAGGCCTAAGAAGTGTTTAAGCTCTCCTAGCTCTTTCATCTGAAAGCGTACTGATAAATTTTCTCTTGTTTGATAAATTTCTCTTTCGTCGTCCCCGGTGATAATCAAATCGTCCACGTAGACCAATACAATTGTCAAATTTCCTTCTCTTTCTTTGATGAATAGGCTTGAGTCTGTATGCGCAACTGAATAACCACTTTGGGTAAGAAATTCAGCAATCTTACCATACCAAGCTCTCGGTGCTTGCTTCAGTCCATAAAGAGCTTTTCTAAGCTTGCATACATAATTAGGATTAGCTGCACTCTCAAATCCCTTTGGTTGGTTCATATAAATCTCCCTGTCTAACTCTCCGTGCAAGAAGGCATTCTTCACATCCATTTGCCACGGTTTCCAATCTTTACTTGCTGCGAGTGCTAGCAGGACTCGTACGGTAGTAATCTTTGCCACTAGGCTGAATGTTTCATCATAGTCTAGTCCATATTGTTGAGAAAATCCTCGAGCCACGAGTCGAGCCTTGTATCTCTCGATTGATCCATCCGGTCGACGCTTTATTTTGTAGACCCACTTGCAAGAGATGGGTTTGACATCTCCTAGTCTTGGCACTAGTTCCCAAGTTTGATTCTGCTCCAGGGCTATAATTTCTTCCTCCATCGCTTTTTGCCAAACCGAGTTTTGTGATGCTTCTTCATATGTCTCTGGTTCATAAACTCTATCTTCTACAATAGCTGCATTTGCATACTTAGGATTTGGCCTTCGGATTCTATTTGATCACCTAAGTTGTTGATGTGTCGTTTCATTTTTATCATATTTGCTTGATTGAGTCACCTCTTGCTTGTCAATATCAATGTCACTTGGATTTTCAGGTGCATCAACATTTGATTGAATTTGTGTAGTTTGCTCTCCCATCTTCTGTTGTAGAATTTCTTCGATGTTTGAATCTGGTAAGACTTTCTTCTCCGAGGACCACCATGAAGATACTTCATTGAAAACTACATCTCTTGATGTATAGTATTTTCCACTTGTTGGATCACAACACCTCCATCCTTTTCTTTGATTGTCGTATCCAACAAATACACACTTGACTGCTTTCTTGTCAAACTTGCTACGTAGATGGCCAGGCACAAATACATAGCAAACACAACCAAATACTAGGAAGTAACTAACGGTATGTTTCATATCCCATAGTATCTCAAATGGTGAGACGAATCCTAGCTTTGGTTGAGGAAGCTTGTTGATCACAGGGCAGCAATTCGCATAGCTTCAGCCCAAAATCTTCCTGAAACGTTCTTTGCGTGTAACATGCTTCGACAGATTTCTACAAGGTGTCGATTCTTTCTTTCTGCTACACCATTTTGTTGTGGCGTGTTGGCACATGTAAATTGACGTCGTATCCCACACTCGTGTAAATATTGATCGAACTCATCTGACGTGTATTCTCCGCCATTGTCTGAACGTAGGCAACGAATCTTCACTCCTACTTCTCCTTCGACTATCATCTTGAATTCTTGAAACTTTGAGAACGTGTCAGACTTTTCTTTATAAAGAAAATCCACACATATCTTGAGTAGTCGTCAATAAGTGTCACCATATACCGCATTTCGCTGATTGATGCTTGTTTGAGCAGTCTGCTTTGACTTCAAGTTGAGGTAGACCTTTGAGCATGGATTTCTCCATAATCAGCTTCAACTTATGGTAGCTAATATGTCCCAATCTTGCATGCGATAGATCTGTCGTCTCATTCTTTCGGATCTTGTCAACATAGGCAGACTCTGCAGATAGAACGTAGACAGACTCCACTCTTCATCCTTCTATTGTTGGCTTTCCTATTATCTTAACATCTTGATAAACTTTTATATCTTCTGGCCCAAACAAGACGTAGCTTCCTGATGTTGTTAGTTGTGACACTAACAACAAGTTCTTCTTTATACCCGGTACATGATAAACATTATGTAGCGACACTGTATCAGACTTATTGCCAGGCATGATTGTCGTATTGTCGATTTGAGCAATTGATAACTATGTGTTATTTGCTGTGCGTACCATACGACTTCCTTTGTACTCTTTCTTGTTTTGCAATTTTCTCTGATCGCTAGTCATGTGGTTGAAACATCCTGAATCAACGATCCAGTCATTCTCATAATTGATATGGTCTTCCATTGTCGCCATGAGTGCTTTCTTCTAAGGGACATAGTACCTCTGCATCCCATTCATCCTCTATCTTCTTTTTGGATATTGCCACATTGCTTTCAATAGACTTTTTCTTGGACCAACAATCTCTAGACATGTGGCCCTTTTCCCGCAATTATAGCAAATACCTCCAAATCTCTTTTCTTGGAAACTCTTGTTGTCGTTCATTTGAGCTCTCTCGGGTTGTGAAGTTCCTTGGTGGCTTCTTCTTTTGTCACCATTGTATCCACGTTTGGTAGACGGCCTATTATTGCTCCGACTTTCACTTGTGTAGAGTGCTTCTTCTTCACCCTTCAATGTGATGCCTCCCATTTGTTTAGCCATAGCTTCTTGGCTGGATAACAAATTTTCGAACTCTACAAGTGATGGTTGAGTGGGCCATCCTTGTACAGCAATAATGAAGCTTCGATATTCCGATCGCAATCCGTGGATTATAATCCTCTTCATTCGAGATTCTACAATGGCAGACTTTGGGTCTAGTTCAGTAATCTTCCGACAGATCAACTTGACCTTGTGGAAGTACTGAGCAATCGTCATGTCATGTTGTGAAATTGACAACAACTCATTCTCCAGAAGTTGTAGCCTTGTATCGTTCTTCTTTGAGAACAACATCACGAACGTGTCCCATGCTTCTTTCGGTGTCTTGTCATCCCAAATATGCTCTAACATCTCTTATCCGATTGTGGTCTTCAAGGCAAACATTGCTTTGCCTGCTTTGATTCTCCATTTGCGCAAGGCGCCGTTAGCCTGTGGCGGCGTAGTTTCACACCCGCCAACGATCTCCCAAAGATCCTGTCCTTGTAAATAGGACATCATGCATGTTGCCCACGTGTTGTAGTTGTTGTTGTTGAGTTTCTTGATTCCTCCAACAATTTGGAAATCACCCATCGTGTTGGCCATATCTCAGTAATACCAAACAAGCTCTTTCGACACAAGACTTGCAGAGTCACAGACTACTCACTCACTACTAATCTCAAGAAATCGTTTCTGATGTAGAAGATTAGACAAAGCTACAACCACAGAGCATACTAAGAACCAAGAGATTAGATAACTTACACTAACCTCGCTCTGATATCAAATGTTGAACACAACTCTCTGTGGGAAACACTCGCACTCCTTATTAAGATCAATCGAGAAGAGAACTCTTTATTAAGACCAAATTCCAACTTATTAAGACCAATCGAGTAGAGAACCTTTATTAAGACCAAATTCCAAGAGATCAGATAACTTACACTAACCTCGCTCTGATACCAAATGTTGAACACAACTCTCTGTGGAAAACACTCGCACTCCTTATTAAGACCAATCGAGAAGAAAACTCTTTATTAAGACCAATCGAGAAGAAAATACAAAACACTATGTAGAATACTACTACTACTCTTTATTGTTTTTGGATTTCTTGGATGAATAACCTACGTAGGTTGGAAGGTATTTATACTAGAGCACCTAACAAATCTAAATCTAAACCTAACAAATTTATCTTTCCTAAAATCTTACTTAAAATACAAATCTTTATGGTATCTTTCCTAAAATCTTACTTAAAATAAATATACAATGAGCTCATACAAATCTTTATGGAGCTCGTACTATTTTGGGTTTGACTCTATTGGGCTAGTGATTGACTTTATTGGGCTAATGATGATATTTCAACGATACATAGATGTAGGAAAAAAAACAAGTAGGATAATACCATTTACTAAAGTGCCACATATCCGTGCCACATATCCATCCATTTCTGTCTTGATTCGACGTCCTCGAATGACATCTTACCGCTAATGATGATATTTCAACGATACATAGATGTAGGAAAAAAAACAAGTAGGATAATACCATTTACTAAAGTGCCACATATCCGTGCCACATATCCATCCATTTCTGTCTTGATTCGACGTCCTCGAATGACATCTTACCGCTAATGATGATATTTCAACGATACATAGATGTAGGAAAAAAAACAAGTAGGATAATACCATTTACTAAAGTGCCACATATCCGTGCCACATATCCATCCATTTCTGTCTTGATTCGACGTCCTCGAATGACATCTTACCGCTAATGATGATATTTCAACGATACATAGATGTAGGAAAAAAAACAAGTAGGATAATACCATTTACTAAAGTGCCACATATCCGTGCCACATATCCATCCATTTCTGTCTTGATTCGACGTCCTCGAATTACATCTTACCGAGAGTGATATTGTGCTAATACCATTTGTAACAATTCATGTCCAAAATTCGGATCAAGTGTCAAAATCAAGTTTAGAATCCTAATCCAAATCTTGAGCCTGAGACGTTACAAAATTTAAAAATTTGCTCTAAATATTTGTGAATTAACAAGTCGGAACAATCTTTCGATTTATTAATCAAGGAATATACAAATCTACAAATGGTATGAACTTTTATTAGCAATCTATTCTATCTTATAACTTTTACCTCGGTAGAATACAAACGTCAAAACTGTTTCCCACTTCACCATGGCAGTTAAAGTAGTTTTGGGAATTTCAATGAGTAGCAGCCACAGTGCCATTACTGGTCGTAGTTGCAAGGCCATGAGACTCAACATTGCCAGCCAACATCAAACCAATTTTACCACCATTTGAGACAACACTGTCGCTGTTCTTCGAACTGAATTCTCCACTACGAGGAGCAACAATATTGCCACTGTTATTTAAACTAACGTTGCCACCATCCGAAACAGCAGCTCCCAGTTCATTGGACCTGATTTCTTCACTATGAGAGCTGACACCATCCGAATCAGCAGCTCCCAGATCATTGGAGTTGATGATTCCACCATCTGAAACAGCAGCTCCCAGTTCATTGGGGCTGATTTCTCCACTATAAAAGCCAACAATATTAACACTACTCTTGAAGCTAATGTGTCCACCATCCGAACGGGCAGCTCCCAGATCATTGGAGCTGATGTGTCCACCATCCGAACGGGCAGCTCCCAGATCATTGGAGCTGATTCCTCCACCATCCGAACGGGCAGCTCTCAGATTATTGGAGCTGATTCCTCCACCATCCGAACGGGCAGCTCCCAGATTATTGAAGCTGATGTGTCGTCCACCATCAGAACGGGCAGCTCCCAGATTATTAGAGCTGATGTGTCGTCCACCATCAGAACGGGCAGCTCCCAGATTATTGGAGCTGATGTGTCGTCCACCATCCAAACGGGCAGCTCTCAGATTATTGGAGCTGATGTGTCCACCATCCGAACGGGCAGCTCTCAGATTACTGGAGCTGATGTGGGCAGCTCTCAGATTATTGGAGCTGATGTATCGTCCACCACCCGAACGGGCAGCTCCCAGATTATTGGAGCTGATGTGTCGTCCACCACCCGAATGGGCAGCTCCCAGATTATTGGAGCTGATGTGTCGTCCACCACCCGAACGGGCAGCTCCCAGATTATTGGAGCTGATGTGTCGTCCACCACCCGAACGGGCAGCTCCCAGATTATTGGAGCTGATGTGTCGTCCACCACCCGAACGGGCAGCTCCCAGATTATTGGAGCTGATGTGTCGTCCACCACCCGAACGGGCAGCTCCCAGATTATTGGAGCTGATGTGTCGTCCACCATCCAAACGGGCAGCTCCCAGATTATTGGAGCTGATGTGTCGTCCACCATCCAAACGGGCAGCTCCCAGATTTTTGGAGCTGATTTCTCCGCTATGAGAACCCACATCATTGCCACTACTCTTCAAATCAATCTTTCCACCATCTAAATCAGCAGCTCCCAGATCCTTGGAGCTGCCGTCTCCACCATGAGAACCAACAACATTGTCACTACTCTTCAAACGAATGTTGCCGCCATCCAAAACATCAGCTCCCAGCTCCTTGGAGCTGGTTTCTCCACCAATACCACTTCTCTTCAAACCAACAGGAAGAATTTTTCCACCATAAGAATAAACAATGTTTCCACCCCTCTTCCTAATAATTTCATGACCCTTAGAAAACCCACCGCCACCATTGATCTTTGGTACTTCACGACCAACAAATCCCGCGCCGTCTTTCTTAATTTCATTACGAAAAGACGAAGCTTTGTCGTCGACACTGACTTCTGGACTCTGGATGGCGGTATGGTCAAATTTCGAGATTCCAATATGATGATCACCAAATGAACGGAAAGAAAACCGATGGTTTCGGCCTTTACCTATAACACCGGTGACATCGTTGAAAGTGGCACCCAATCTCGCACAACACTCCCAAGCAAGAACTAAGAAAAGGGCGTGGACGATATTAAAACCTCTCACGGCTGCCATTGTTGAGAGTCTTGAAGCTTCTATCACAAATGATAAGTAATAGAATGAACAAGCTGCGGATTGTTTGGAATTTTGTGTTCTATATATGCTTGTTTGATCCGAAAACTATATTTAGAAAATTTTGACAAGTGTTTGGGTACCAGAATTATTCGTAACTCTCTCAATCACCTTCCTTAAATGATTGTAGGGTTAAGAAGTAGTAAGTAGCATCGGGATGCTTCAAACAAAATCATTTAAAGGAACACATGTACTATATTGATATGGGCTAATTTTGCTGATTTTTATTATTATTATCCATACCATTTCATAAATATTTCTTTGAAGTAAAAATGTATTAGAATGTTCATCAGACTTGAAACGACATGACTATGACTACCATTCTTGTCTAGATTAAATTTGATATTCAATAATGTCGACTTTTCATTCAACGATTTCCAAGAGTATTTTAAAACTTTTACGAAAAAAAAGTATTAATTTGCGTCTTTTAAAAGCATACTTAGCTTATTCATCAAGTTGAACATCAAAGTATAGATTCATCTTGTTTGAGAATCTTGTTATGAACTTTGAATGGGTTTTGGTCAAAATTATTTAATTTCTAGAATTTCTAAACAAATTATGTTTTTTATTTTTCAATTCATTTACGATTAAATTAAGTTGTTTGATGAAATTAAATGAGAAAAAACATATCTTGGAGAGTTGATTTATAGGTAATTAGTCATATGTTATAGATATTGGATAATATTTTTAGATAATTACAGTCGATTCCAAACTTCTAATTGCGAAATCTGAAAGCCGCCGCCGCCGCGGCCGGTTTCTTGGTGATGTAGTAATCGATGATGGAAATTCCGCCGTACCTCTCAGCGGCCTCTTTGCTATCAATGGTGCTCCTAACTTCTCCGACACGGGATGGGGCTGGGTAATCGAAGAACAGATCGTGATCAAAGTTGTTCGTACGCCGAGAGAGGTGGTGAAGCTCGCCGTCGTTCACAACCTTTTGCAGTGGTCGGGAAATTTTGGTTCTTTGCTCGACAAAGTAGTAGTAGTTCTCCTCCCGCTTCCGGAAAGCTGCCATGGATTCCGGCGAAGTTGCAGAGTGGCCGCTCTTTTATGGAAGTTGTGTTTTTGTTTTTGTGTGAAGAGGGTGAAGGATTTTGTGGTTCCTTTATAGTTGACAACATGTGGGGTCTACCACCGACCCCATTAATGCTAAAGAGGAAGATCATAAGTTTATATTTAAGGAATAACATCTTCATTTGTACCCGACATCTTTATTTAGCAGCATATAGGTTACTTTATCTTTTGTGGGAGTGTGTTTCTTATATTTACTGTGTTTAGTCGTTCTTGTTAGAGGAACGAGACTCTCCACAATGGTATGATATTGTCCACTTTGAGCATAAGCTCTCATGGCTTTGCTTTGGCCTTCCCCAAAAAGCCTCATATCAATGGAGTTAGTATTCCTCACTTATAAACCCATGATCACACCCTAAATTAGTCGATGTGGGACTTCCATCATCCAACACCTCCCCCTCGAACAAAGTGCGCCTCCCCTTAATCAACCCATGATCACACCCTAAATTAGTCGATGTGGGACTTCCATCATCCAACACCTCCCCTCGAACAAAGTGCGCCTCCCCTTAATCGAGGCTCGACTCCTTTGGAGTCTTAGTCATTTTTTACTGCCCGAACAAAGTGCGCCTCCCCTTAATCGAGGCTCGACTCCTTTGGAGTCTTAGTCATTTTTTACTGCCTTCGAGGAGGGGCTTGGCTCCTTTTTCTTTAAGAGTTCTTTGTTCGATATTTGAGGATTTTACTGCCTTCGAGGAGGGGCTTGGCTCCTTTTTCTTTAAGAGTTCTTTGTTCGATATTTGAGGATTCGAGGATTTACCAGGAGGGGCTTGGCTCCTTTTTCTTTAAGAGTTCTTTGTTCGATATTTGAGGATTCGAGGATTTACCCATCTATTGGCACGACTAAGTTTAGGAAGAGTTCTTTGTTCGATATTTGAGGATTCGAGGATTTACCCATCTATTGGCACGACTAAGTTTAGGGCATGGCTCTGATACCATGTTAGAGGATTCGAGGATTTACCCATCTATTGGCACGACTAAGTTTAGGGCATGGCTCTGATACCATGTTAGAGGAACACGACTCTCCACAATGGTATGATATTGTCCACTTTGAGCATAAGCTCTCATGGTTTTGCTTTGGGCTTCCCCAAAATGTCTCATACTAATGGAGTTAGTATTCCTCACTTATAAACCCATGATCACACCCTAAATTAGTCGATGTGGGACTTCCATCATCCAACAGTTCTAACTTTATTCTCGAGATCTTTCTTTTCACGTTAGCTGGCATGCTTCTCAATTAAATTTTTGGGTCTTGGGAGCGTGATTTGCGTCTTTGGGTAATTTCGATCTCAAGGGTGAAGAATAGTTGAAGGAGAAGATGAGAAGGAAAGAACAGAATTTTAGTCAACCGATTCTCGTATATATTCACCCAATTTCACATTTATATTCAGTCAAAAAAGGAAATATTCCTACCGATAAATTTCGAGTCTAATATCTTTTTCAACTATTGATTTTGCAGATAATATGATCATAACACACCGGATATAAAAAAATGTTGAAACTAGAGTAAAAGAACAACATGTAGGGTTTGAGTGAGTGCCCCGTCTTCGAATAACTATTTGTATGCCAATGGCTACAAAATTCGTATATATCAATAGGGCATAAACACGTAAGGTTGCATTTATCCAATCCGTTCAATAATACAAAAGGAATAAAGGCATCATATACTTCAACATTATATATGAATCTAACTTTTTCCCAAAAAAAAAAAAAAATACTTTTCATAATTCATTTGGTGGGAAGATATTCTTCATTTTCTACCCTACAATCTTTTGACTCAAAACAAACTCCATTGAATTTGATGTGTAAAAGATAAGAATCTCACCTTTTCATAACAAATAAAAAAATAAAAATAAAAACACTTGAATTAAACGTTTATTTTATGACTGCATGTCGGATGTCCAAGACGTATTGTCATGTGTCACAGTCCTGCTTATTCAAGACGTGTTGCCTGTGACTGCATGTCGGATATCCAGGACGTGTTGTTTGTGACTGCATGCCCGTTTCAAACTGATAAGAATCAGAATCACGGTGTTGCAAATGGATCTATTGCCAAGAAGATTAAAAAAATGTATTAAAATGTCAACAACAGTATTTCAAGTCTGTCTCTTAGCTGCTAACATTTGTTGTAATGCATTATTTTTAATTTCATAAAATATGTAAGGGTCAAATGTTCAATTTGACTTCGTCTTTTGTGGAGATTAGAGGGATCGAGAATAAATCTCAGCCACAAACGTCTTTTGTCGGAATACTATAAATACCCACAATATGTTAAGTAAAAATCAGATGGGTGGATGAATGAAATTGAAATCTCGAATTTAGACGTTTTTCTTAGAAATTCGAGCATTAATTTTGGCATTTCTAAGTTTCGAGCAATTCATGTGAATTACATCCGAGCCATTTAATCAAGTCTTGATCAAGTTCGATTGTGGAGTGACTCAATTTAGAACAAGATTCCAAATCTTGCTTCTCGATCTTCGATCGTAAGAGGTGATGTAATTCTAGCTTTATCTCTTGATTGATCCAAATTTCGTATAAGGAGTGTGAATTACCTTGATTCAAGGGTTCTTGCTTTAACAAAAGCTTGAATAGTTGGTTTGAGGATTGATCCAAATTTCGTATAAGGGGTGTTAATTACCTTGATTCAAGGGATTTGGTATAAGGGGTGTTAATTACCTTGATTTAAGCTTGATTTAAGGGTTCTTCCTTTAACAAAAGCTTGAATTGTTGGTCTGAGGATTAGGGTTGCCTTATCACAAAACTCTTTTACTTGTTTTTATGTTAGATAGGTTTTTACTATTATTGTTGTGTCAATACGGGGTGTATAATTGGTCACCAAAATCATGTCTACACCGACTGAGTTAACATGCCCCAAAATGTACTGTAGGGGGATGTGACTAGTTGTCCATTCTTCCTACCTTGATTATGTGCTATCAAAGTAATTATTGTTGCCTACACACTTTTAGCTTATAACCTTGTTTTCTTTAAAATTGTTTTCAACGTATTTCATCGTTCACGTTTTCTAAAACATTTCTCTCAAACGTGACTTGAGTCTCGAGGGTATGCTGAGATTGTCTGCGAAGTGCAAATTTCACATGACTAACTTGTTCGTTAGATTAGAACAAGTGTTGCACAATCACTACTTGCTACTGCAAGAGTGCGATTGTGACACTGTGAGCGCATGATTGAATAAGATCGTATAAAATGGACATTTTTTTTTTTTTTTTGAAGAAACCGTGCGAACGATATGTTTTTAAAGAAGTTTGATTTTTTTTTTTAGGAAGTTGTAATATCAACACATTTTAATATTCTTTGATATATTCTTAGGCAAATATCATAGCTTTGTTTATAAATGGAATCCAAATATGGTCGGTTAAGATTCTTCTTTAATTAATACTAAGAAATTTTATTCCCTTTTAGTTTATATTATTAATTGGGAAGTGAAATTGTAACGAAACGAGGAGAAACAAATCCACGAGCCAACTTGAACATCTAAGTAATTGATCGTTCAAATACTTTCACGTTCGTAGATTCTTAAACCGTTCGTTTCAAATGGCGTAGTGTCAAGATAGTTTAAAAAGTTTACACACAGCATGAGAATTGATACATGGACGATTCCCAAATTGAAGTCAGTCGTGTGGAAATCTCTCACTAACATATGTGTTTTAAAATTGTGAGACTACAACTATATATAGCCGAACAAAACAGACAATATTTACTAAAACTGGATTTGAGTTTGAGCTATTACAATCGATAATAACATTTAAAGAAAAAAAGACAAAATCGTGATGGTCGTGAACAAGTTACGATGACGATAATAATAATAATAACGTTATGCTTTCATTCCATTTTATGATGCTAGTAAAAACCAAACATATCATACCTACGAAACTTTGCTCGTAAAACGTTTCCTTATAAACTCTTACATCATCATTTGACTCGAGAACCCGAAAAAAAAAAAAAACATCCAAATCCACCACTACCCAACCAAGTCAATAATGTAGAGGGCAAAGCCTTTCCCTTTTAGCCATGTGCCCTCACGTTTTTCCTTCATTAATAATAGTAATCATGTGGGGTACCCCTCCCTTAGTTTAGAGGGAGAGTGCCCTTAGAGCTGGCCAAAAGAGTGAGCCAGATAAGCCAGTGACCCTACAAGAGGTGCATTCATATACGTGGCGGGCTCAGACTGCTCGTAATCCGACCGTTGATCTGGGAACCTGTCGTTCTTATCGGGCCCTCCCACCACTGCACCAATCAGCAAGTTTGGATTTGGTGCGGCCGAGTTCATCACACTGAACCCTGCCGTGCATTGGATCTTCCCTGGATGAGATGCAATCGACGGCAGTGATGATCCCCTGTGATGGATCCTTTTAGGGTACCTTGTCCCATACCCCACCATGTAGGACATCTTTTGTGGGTTATCCCCTAGAAGATAGTCCACCTACACCATCCAAATATACAACATTAACAATTTGCAATGAATAACGTTTACATTGGCACGAGATCTTTTGAGAAACTAAAAACAAAGTCATAAGAGTTAATGCTCAAAGTGGACAATATCTATAACGGCCAAAGCCAACAACCAGTAGATATTGTCCTCTTTGAACTTTCCCTTTCAAACTTCTCCTCAACGTCTTAAAAAACGCGTTTACCAGGAGAGGCACCCTTATATATTGTCCCTCTTTGGACTTTCGCTTTCGGGCTTGTCTTAAAACGCGTCTACTAGGGAGAGGTTTCCACACTCTTATATATTTTCCCTCTTTGAACTTTCCCTTCCGCGATTCTCCTCAAAGTTTTTAAAATGCGTCTCTTAGGGAGAGTTTTCCACACCTATATAAAGAATGTTCCATTCGCCTTCCCAACCGATGTGGGATCTCACAATATCATACCATTATGAAAGTTCGTGATTCTTACCAAACGAGAGCGGGTTTTCGAGGTACCTGTTTTTTGGCGATGGCGCGGAGGGTTTTCGGGGTGATGGTCGTGCCGCAGTTCACCACGGTGCGGGCCGAGGTCAAGTACTTGGCGTAAGTTAAGAGTAGGAATGAAGTTGATGTAACATATTGCATGTTGCTATCGTTCATTTTGAACAGCAACCCACCTGTCCAAACACACTAAAGTTCAAAACTTTGTTCAAATTTTCACAAAAAAAGTAGCCGTTAAGAAATTCAACAGAACCAACCAGGAGTGTATTTGGTTGAGGAAAATGAAGCTCCGGGAATTAGAGAGCATATGAAATTATCAGCATGTCCCTTATAATCATGAAGAGATTGCATCTTTTGCACCAAAAATGCCTGTCAAAAACCACGAACAACAACGTTCATTATCGTAATATCATACCGTTGTAGAGATATAAAGAGGGTGTTTTTCGAACCTTCGAGAGAAGGATTCGGGCTCCGGCGTGCTTGTTATCCCAACCGAACGTGTTATCGAACTCTCCGGCACCGAGAGTCTGTCCATTGACTTGAATGTAATTGAGATATTTGGGATTTTTGGTGGCTCTCTGAAGCCAAGCAGCTCCCCATAGAAGCTCATCCTGCAAACCCAAGCAGCTCCCCGTTAAATGCTCTGTTTTTGAGAAAAAAAAAATAGAGTTTTTTGTAGCTTTACCTGATATCCAGAGAAGGAACAGTAAAATGGGCACACATATTTTTTCAAACCAGTGCTGTAAGAGCCTCTATACTTATCAGCAAACTCAAAAACCTGCAAAAAAAAAGGGGAGAATTTTGAAATTGAATCAAAATGCTCTGTTTCAATCTTGTTTACTCTGTTTCTAAAGCTATAAAGGTTGGTCTTTTAGCTTACTCTCATGGCCCTTCTGACCAGAAGCTTTGAGTAAGTAGGATCACTCCGTCGGAATACCAGCGATGCGGCGGCAAGTGCGGCGGCCGTCTCGGCGGCGACCTCTGTGCCGGGGTTGTTCTTGTCCACCTTGAAAACACTTCGGGGAGTGTCCATATCCTCTGGCCTCTCCCAACAGGCATGGTCCTTGTTCGCATCGCCGACCTGAACGTAAATGGTGTCGGGATGAACGGTGGCTTTGAGGAGATAATCAGTGGCCCAATAAATGGCTTGTTTAGCATTTTGAAGCTCCCCTTTCATCAACCCACCGAACTCAAGAACACTCCATGAAAGCATGGTGGTGGTGAACGCCATCGGAAACCCAAATTTCACATTGTCGCCGGCATCGTAGTAACCACCGACTAAATCGACCTACATTTCCACAAAACCAGTAAAATCCAACCAAAACCCACTTCATAAATTCACATTTTGAGTTGAAATAAAGAACCAAAACTCAAAAAACAAACCAAATCGGGAAATACCTTCATGGCAGCGCCGTCAGAGAGGCCGGAGTTGCGCCGCCAAGTCATCCTCTGATTGGGCGGGAGCCTGCCAGATCTCTGGCCTTCAAAGAAGAGGATGGATTTGGTGAGAGCGTCTCGGTAGTTATGGTGGGCAGAATGGGAATGGCGGTGAGTAGGGTAGCCATTGTTGCAGGGGAAGAAACAGAGGAGGAGGATGAAAAACAGAGGTCCGAGGGCAGCCATTGATGAAGCTCTTGAAGGAAAGGGCTTTGGAGCAGCTTTCTGTGTTGCTGATGAGTATGTTTATAGAGGAAAATTTGGGGAAATTTTAATAATGATTAAAGCCATAAGCTTTTGAAATTCTTGTTTAATTGAAACCAAAAGAGGGCATTTATGAGTCTGTGACAAGACTTGTGACATTCTTACCATTTTTCATTTTTTAAAATTGAATCATAACGAAGTCGGAATAAATGAAGAATACATGAATGAATCGAGATCATATAAATGAGTACGATTCTAACGATAAGATGACTAAGAAGTTATTATTATATCAGAAGGGTGCACATTCGTTTTTGATGACTTTCCATAAAACTCCATCTATTTATAACAACACGATGTACATTTTTTTCAGTAGCTCAATCATATGAACTCAACCGCAAGGTATGTTTTGCTTGAAATGATTTTATGGAAAATTATAGAATTTAATTTAGATAAAAAGATAATATTAAGTTGAATGATTTAAAAGGATAAGTTAAAATAAAGCAAAGAAAAAAACAACAAAATATGGCTATTAAAAAAAAAACATGTTTTTTAATTATTAACGTTATTATTATTATTGGACCAATCAGAAATTTGCGTCCAAAACGTTCTCGAGCAACGTATAATTTTAATATAATATAATATTATTTGGAGTTGCCCAATTTTTAGGAAATAGTTATTTATTTATTTATTTATTTAATTTGGTCCTGAAAAAGCTGTTATTGGCAGCGGGGATGAGACAGTCAAAGAATAATAAAAAACAATGGGAAAATCAAAATAAATAAAAAAATGCTAAATTTATAAATAAATAAAAAAAAAATACTAGGTTAACTGTGCATGTTCTCCAAATTTTTTAATAATATTCTTAAATATTAAAAAATTTAAAAAAGAATTTAAAACATTTAACTATTAATTTATATTTAACGATATTCTTAAATTTTTATAAAACTTCAAAAATACCTTTAAATTCTTTTAAAAACTTTAAAAATATTTTAAAATAAAAAATAATAAAAATTTCTTAGGGAAGGTTCATGGATTTATTCAAGATCGAATAGCCATTTACCAGAAATAATAAAATTCATACAATTTTTTTTTTTGTGTAAATATAGCTCGCGGTACTCCCTAATACTGTATTTGGAGCCGTTGTTCGAATTCCTTTTATGATATAACTGAAACAAGTTCTTGCGAATGGGGAAAGGGGCGGTTGGAATGTGGAGCTGTTCTTATTTTACCCAAAGGATTTGAATTAGCCCCCGATCGTATTTCTCCCGAGATTAAAGAAAAGATGGGCAATCTGTCTTTTTAGAGCTATCGTCCCACTAAAAAATATTCTTGTGATAGGGCTCGTTCCTGGTCAAAAATACAGTGAAATCACCTTTTCTATTCTTTCTCCGGACCCTGCAACTAAGAAAGAAGTTCACTTCTTAAAATATCTCATATACGTAAGCGGGAATAGGGGAAGGGGTCAGATTTATTATGATAGAAGTAAGAGTAATAATAACGTTTATAATAACTTATTAAAGTATTACACTATGGATCAAAAGGTTGCATATGACATCTGAATAAAAGAGGAGGCAGACGTTAATTAAGCGTGTTTTATCTTGAAGAATTTTATGTTGCTGAAAGAACCTACGTTGGTCTGTGACGATTGTTTTTAGTCTTAAAAGATCATATCGTAGGGGCGTTTTGGATCCAAATCGGAAAAGTTTTGATGAAAAAAAATGAATAAATTATTTAAAAATAAAAAAAAAGATTTCCGACCTGCCGGATTCGAACCAGCGACCTAAGGATTAAGCTGCAATCAGACTACAGTCCTCCGCTCTACCAACTGAGCTAAGGTCGGTTTGTGTTGTAGTTGTGATTGAAAATTTATTTGTATTAATATGTTTCTCAAAATACATGAAAAATAAAACTACTTATTAATATCTCTTAAAAGTGTAATTTTCATATAAAAAAAATAATAAATACATACCAATAAGAAAATGAAAAGGTTTTTAATGAAAAAAAAAAAAAATCGGGCCGTGAGATTAGTCCAGATGTATGCAAGTTGACTTCAAACGTTTTAGTTAGTATCAAAGCCCAACAATGACAACTAAAGGTATTGAAGGTTCAACCCTAAACCCGATAAATCACTTGAATATTGTTAGGAATCACGACTCTCTACAATGGTTGATATTGTCCACTTTGAGCATAAGCTCTCATGGCTTTACTTTGGGATTTCCCAAAAGGTCTCGTACCAATGGAGATAGTATTCCTCACTTATAAACTCATGATCTTCCACTAAATTAATCAACGTGGGACTCACTTCTAATAATCCTCAACAAATATCCCTTGCGCATTGCACCAGTGAAACTTCACCAACGTGGTTCTAGCCGTTCTAATTAACAATCCACAACCTTCATAGATTTGTTCTTGGAAATACTAAAATCGAACCGAACCAAACCAAGTTGAATTAGACCGAACTATGAAAGGTAGTGAAGGACGATCGGCGGTGGTGGGACGCCGGAAAAAGGTCGGGGGAAAGAGGTTGGGAATTGTGTTGATTTTAAAATATATTTGATTAAAAAAAGCGATTATATTTAATTTTGTCGGTTGAATTTGAATTACCATTTGGAAGAAAATGTTGATTTAAAATATAAAAAAGAGAATTGCTTGCATCACCGTCACAGCTTTGACTATTGAGTTCAAATCCCGTTGGAGCTTGCAAAGTTGGTAAAGCCACACGCAATACAACACCATTATGGACCCATTTCTATTTTAAAAATATTAAAATTGTGGCGCTCGAGTAAAAGAAATATACATACATGAATGAACTATTAAGAATAACGGCTCTCCACAATAGTATAATATTGTCAATTTCCCTAAAAAGGCTCGTACCAATAGAGATATGTTCATTCCTTATAAACTCATGATCAACCCCTTAATTAGCTGACGTGGGACTCCACTCCCAACGATTCTCAATATGAACCGAGACTATATTTGAATTAGAGAAATTCGTAAAATAGCTAAGAAAGACTTCAAATAATTTTGCATCTTCCTTTTTGGGTGGCGTAATCATAGAAACTTCATAGTTAAACGTGTTTTTCTTTAAACAATTTTATGTTGGGTGACCTCTTAGGAGGACTCATATTAGTTTATGAGGAATAATATCACTTGGGGTTTACCATTTTTGTTCAACCGGGAGATACATGCACATCAACTAAGCTATGAATATGATTGAAAAAATCAAAGTCGAGCTCAACTGCCTTATCAATAGATCTCCCTCTATCTCTATCATACATTTGCCTTACAATCTGAATCAAGGAGAAGCTCGGGACGAAACCAGAGTAACTGTATGGTGGCTCGTGTTGTACTCTCGAGATGAATCACCGGGATCTACCAATATCAATATCAACTTGGCCTAAAAATTTGACGATATTGGACAGATCTTGGCTGAGATTTGTTAAAAATTCTTAATTCCTCGATGATTGAACCATCACGTCCCTTTGTTTCCCTTCACACTCACAATTCCACTCGCATCTTTCTTCCTTATTTGTAGCAAATTGTCTATGGGAATCATTTTTTGGATTTTACTAAACATTTTCTTTTTCTTTTTGAAAAAAAAAAAAACATCTCTATTTTATAATTATTAGGAAAATCATATCATTATTTATAATTATAAATTATTTGCTAAATCAATCCCTTTTTAATGTTAATCAGACCCATAATATATATATATATATATTGTAATTTTGAAAGTCAATTTCTAATTTATGTTATTAATTAATAAATGTGTTTCAACAATTATTAGGAATATGATATTGAAATTAATTAGAGTAGAATTTCAATCATTATTGAGTTATTATTGTTATTTTTTTTCAAATTTTTTTATTATAATTATTATTTTTGTTTTTAAAATGAGTTAAAATAAGTCTAATTTCATTCATTTTAAAACCTTCAATTTTTAATATTTATGATTTCGTCAAACTTCACCTAATTAATTATTTTCATTATTATTATTTAAAAATAGTACCAATATTAAATATAACTAATATAGATATTTCATATTTAGTTAGTTATGTTAATACATAATGATTGAAATTTAGAGTTTACAAACAAAATAATAATAATAATAATAATAATAATAATAATAATAATAATAATAATAATAATAATAATAATAATAATAATAATAATAATAATAGTGGGTTTTAATTTAGTATTTATGAAAAAAAATTAGAAATGATTTTAATTTCAGAAAAAAAAAATCAAAATTCAAAATATACCATTTTAAAAAATATATTTTTTTATCGTAATTTGAACATAATTTATTGATTGGAGTATCGATTTCTCAGTTATAAGTCATATGTTCATATCTCGCGTCTCCGATATAAATAATATAATTTTATATTAAAAAATAATAACTCTCGAGAAAATATCCACATAATTTTGCAGAACATGCAAGCATCTTTTTTTTTTGGACTGCATTAAGTATGTAAACCTAATACCACCGAGACTTTATTTATTAATATTTGCATGGAGTTGACTATGTCAAAAGTGGTTCTTTTTTTAAATAAATTAATTTAATTACTAGACGCGGTTTTGTACACTCCAAGTCAACCATGTTATGGAATTCCAAGTCAACCATATTATTTTTTTCATAATATTTGTCACGCTCCATTATTTTAATTTATATATTAATTTCTGAAAATAGAGATTAAAAAAAGGAAGTTTATTAAATGAAACAAAATGATTATACTTAATCAAACTATGTGACACAAACTTATCAAATAAATATAATTTCAACTTAGTATTAAATGTTAAAAATAAGGTATAAAATATTGGAATGGATTAAATTTATAATTTATCTTAAATTAAATTAAATGTTATAAAACAATTTATTAAGAATTTAAACTTAATTGTGATAAATGAATAATTAGAAAAGTGCGTCGCGTGAACTACACGTGGTCGGGTCCCGCGTCGAGTAATTTACATGTATTACACGCAATACCCGTAACGGCCTCTTTTTTCGCTTTATTATTATTATTGTTATTATTATTTCAATAACTAAACCGACTTCGGAAGTGACATTCCAACTTTTTTTAACCAATTTTTTTTCTGGTGCTTTAATAATTGTGTTTTTTACGCATTTAATTTCGGTTATTGTAAAAAATAAAAAAAACATAGACATAAAATTTGGCAAAAAAAAAAAACACTAAATGATTTAAATGGGCGTTTATTTAGGTAATGACGGTGACTAAATGCTAAACATTTTGACTAGATTGGTCATAAGATTAAAGATATTTTTATCGATCACAATAGTCATTAATAGCACTGTATGAGACAAAAACATATCAGCACGTGTCAAGTTGAAGAACATTCATGTAATAGTCCAAGTCCACGTCTGATTTGACCCACTATATGAGGTTCCACATTAGTTGTAGAGAAGAAGAACGAAACCTTTCTTATAAGGGTATGAAAAATATTTGTGAGTACAAACGAAATTAAAAAAATTGAGAGAAAAAATGAAAGAATATTGTCAACGCACCATTTAATAATTAAAAAAATATAGAATTTTGTTCCAGTGGTTTTGGTGGCAAGGATTTATTTGAGTTAGATTATTATTATTATTTTTTATAGTTATAAAAAAAATTAATTAAAATTAAATTCGTTCATAAGATATAAAGCATATAGGGTTGGTGGTTTGGGTGTGATTCAATTTCCATTATTTAAATTTTATTAATATTATTTGAAAAGTATTTCTTATTTCTTGTTGGATCTCTATCTTTTTTTAATAAAATAATAATAATAAATAAATAAATAAAAAGACGTGTGGGGTTTTTTTTTTATTATTTATTATTTATTTATAATTTAAAATTAGTTTATAAATGAAAGATTATTAGATTAAAATTAAAAGAATACGTATAAGGAAACAAGATCCCATACCGATTGCATTGGATAAGGGAATTATAAGTTGAGAAACAAACTAAATAGTAAATTGATTTTTGTTAAAAATAAATAAAATAAAATAAAATAAAATAAAAACATCTGCCGGACAGCTTGCAAATCTTGTCACCTTTTCCCCTCTCTTGTTTGTCCCTAAAATCAACGCGCTATTTTGACTTTCTCCTTCTCATTTTATTCATTTCAATTTCTTGTGCAAATTTGTATCCACAACTTATTATTATTTATCTGCTTTGTATCGTCACGGTCTCACTAAATAACTTTTTTAACCGAACATAATTAGAAGAAATACATATCAATCAAATAATTGGTCTACTTCTTTCTTATTACTAGGTGTTACGTGCGGTTAAAAACTTTAGGTTATTCTTTTCAATAGAAAGCATCTATTGAATAACAGTCATGCTTTGTCTTCTCAAGCATTTGAACTAATCCGAGTGTGAGATCTCATATTGATGAAAGAGGAGAACGAAACATTCCTTATAAGAGAATGGATATCTCTCTTTAATAGATGTGTTTTAGAAACTGTGAGGCTGACGACGATACGTAACGAGCTAAAGCGGACAATATTTGTTGGGGCTTCAAGGGAGGTGGATTGTGAGATTCCACATAAATTGGAGAGAGGAATGAAACATTACTTATAAGGGTGTAGAAATCTCTCCGTACTATACATGTTTTAAAATCACAGGTTGATGGCAATACGTAATAGGTTAAAGCAGACAATATCTACTAATAGTGGATTCGGATTATTACAAATGGTATTAGAGCTCGACACCAACAAGGACGCTAGCCCTCAATGAGGGCGGATTGTGAGATCCTACATTAGTTGGAGAGTAGAACGAAACATTATTTATAAAAGTGAAGAAATCTCTCCATACTAGACACGTTTTAAAATCACGAGGCTGATGACGATACGTAACGAGTCAAAGTAGACAATATCTTCAAGTGAGCATATTACGACGACGACCGTAGTAACATGTCGTGTCAATATCTAATTAAGTAGAAGTTTTAGAGCTTTTGTCAAAAGACAACGTACACACCAACAAACATTGAGTTTGATAGTTTTAAGAAAAACCCACCTCCCTTCTCCTCCTATAAATTGCACATAAATCAGAAATTTCCCAAACCACCACTTCTCTCTCCAATGGCGGCCACCACATTCACCTCTCTCATCCTCCTCACCCTCTACATAACCACCGCTCAAATTCCCCTCTCCGCCGCCGCCGCCTCCGTCTGCACCTCCACCCCCGACCCCTCCTACTGCAAATCCACCCTCCCCAACCAAACCGGCAATGTCTATTCATACGGCCGCTCATCTTTCAGAAAATCCCTCTCATCCTCGCAAAAGTTTCTCCGGCTAGTCAAAAAGTACCTCCGGTCACGCTCGTCGTTGACCGTCCCCGCCGTCCGAGCGCTGGAGGACTGCCAGCTGTTGGCGGGACTGAATATTGATTACTTAACGACGTCGTTCCGGACGGTGAATACGACGAGTTCAAAGCTGTCGGAGATGAAGGCGGACGACGTACAGAGCTTGTTGAGTGCGATATTGACGAACCAGCAGACGTGTTTGGATGGGCTCAAGGCGACGGCGGGTTCGTGGTCCGTCAAAAATGGCCTTTCCCTCCCACTTGCCTCTGACACCAAGCTGTACTCTATGTCCTTGGCTTTATTTACCAAAGGTTTATATTTATATATATATTTTTTAATTTTATTTATTTATTTATTATAATTTATACGGAGAGTCGTGATTTTTAATAATTAATGAGTTATTAAAATTAAATATAATTCAAAATAATATATATATATATATATTTTTTTTAATTTATTGATTTCCGGTAGGTTGGGTTCCGAAGAAGAAGAAACGGTCGACATGGACGGCGGCCGGGAGGCAGGGCGGGTTTAGAAACGGTCGGATGTCACTCAAAATGTCGAACAGAGCGAAAGCGATTTACGAGATGGCGACGCGCCGGAATCTGCTGGAGACTGACGACGGCGGCGACGACCAGATTTCGATCAGAGACATCGTCATTGTCAGCCAAGACGGCAGCGGGAATTTCACGACAATTAACGAAGCGATTGCGGCGGCGCCGAATAACTCTGCTCCGACCGACGGCTATTTCTTAATCTTTGTGTCGGTCGGAGTTTACGAGGAATACGTGTCGATTGCGAAGAATAAACGGTATTTGATGATGATCGGAGATGGTATTAATCAGACCGTTATCACTGGTAATCGGAGCGTCGTTGACGGCTGGACCACTTTCAATTCCGCCACGTTTGGTTAGTGTTTAATTAATTAGTTGAATTTTTAATTTTGTAATTAATAAATTTTAAATGTCTTAAATAGATTTTTAATTTTTAATTTTGTTTTTTTTTTTTTTACCAGCGGTGGTGGGACCCGGATTTGTAGCGGTGAACATGACGTTCAGAAACACCGCCGGAGCAATAAAGCACCAAGCCGTCGCCGTCCGTAACGGCGCCGACTTATCCACTTTCTACCTCTGCAGCTTCGAAGGCTACCAAGACACCTTATACACACACTCCCTCCGCCAATTTTACCGCGACTGCGACATTTACGGCACCGTCGACTTCATCTTCGGCAACGCCGCCGTCGTTTTCCAGAACTGCAACATCTACCCTCGTCTTCCTATGGCGAACCAGTTCAACGCCATCACTGCTCAGGGCCGGACCGACCCAAATCAGAACACCGGAACCTCGATCCATAACTGCCGGATCACCGCCGCTGACGACCTCGCGAACAACACCGGCGTCGCGGTGAAAACGTTCCTCGGACGACCGTGGAAGGAGTATTCAAGGACGGTGTATTTGCAGAGCTTCATGGATGAGCTAATTAATCCGGCGGGGTGGAGGGCTTGGGATAAGGATTTTGCTTTGAACACTTCGTATTATGCTGAATTTGGGAATTTTGGGCCGGGATCTAACACGTCGGAGAGGGTGAATTGGCTGGGATTTCATTTGATTAATGATACCGATGCTGGGAATTTCACGGCGGCGAACTTTGTCTTGGCGGATGATTGGCTGCCGCAGACCGGCGTTCCGTACACCAGCGGCTTGACGGAGTAGGAAACAGGAAGAATTTGTTATATATATATATATATAATGATATTCCAAAGGCTAAATGTATAGCTTGGGATGATGATCGATTCTTTGTACGGTGATTGACTTTAAATTTTTAGAATAAAAATACCACAAACTGTTCATCTTCAAGAATTGTAGGGTACATTTGTTATACTAAACATTATGGCTGCAAATTCAGCGACCTTCTGTTTTCTTCTCAAATGAATGAACCTTGTTGTTCGGGAAGCAACGGCGCAGCAGTCGGTGCTCAGAATGTGCATCGAAGTTCAGAGACTTCTTTGATATCGCGAACTGGAAAAGGTGACTTGATCGGTTTCTCTGAAGATTGGTCTGTGTCCATGGAGATCTGCACTTCTGTGATTTACAACGGAGGCGACTCGCTTGATTGATAAGTCATTTGGATTAGCATTGCAGATCCCGAGTTTGACGATGAACACGCCTGTCGTACCTTTTTCGGGGCCATCGCTCTCGATCCATACGTGACCTCCCATGAGATTTGCAAACCTGAATCCAACAGCCCATGTGAAAATAGATCGAGAAAAACTAGCACGTAAGTCAACTCGTGATTCAAGAGATTGGATAGCTTATAAGAGAAAATAGTTGTGAGATCCCACCACGATTGGGGAGGAGAACGAAGCATCTTTTACAAGGGTGTGGAAACCTCTCCGTAACTGACGCGTTTTAAAACTTTAAGGGAAAATCCGAAAGGGAAAGCTCAAAAAGGACAATATTTGCTAACGGTGGGCTTGGGACGTTACAAATGGTATCAGAGTCAGACACCGGGCGATGTATTAGCGAGGAGACTGAGTTCCAAAGGGGGTGGACATGAGGCGGTGTGCTAGCAAGGGTGTTGGGCTCCAAAGGGGGTGGATTAGAGGTCCCACATCGATTGGATAAGAGAACGAGTGTCAGCGAGAACGCTAGGCCCTGAAGGGGGTGGATTGTAAAATCTCATATCGGTTGGGGAGGAGAACGAAGTATCAAGGGTATGAAAATCTCTCCTTAGCAGATGCGTTTTAAAAACTTTGAGAGGAAACTCGAAAGAGAAAGAATCTAAAGAGGACAATATCTACTAGCGGTGAGCTTGAGCTGTTACCGTAGTATTTTCAAATTTTGTATGTTGGGTGATTCGAGGCATACCGTTTACAAAGAGCCAATCCGAGTCCAACCCCACCATTTGTTCGGCTAGATCGTGTTCGTAGTTGAGTGAATCTGGTAAACAGATGAGGAATGTCTTGGGGAAGAACACCACATCCTGAATCTTTAACCTGAGAAGCAGAAAGAACAGAACAAAATGATTTAGAACATTGAATGAATATGTTCCTCATAATTCAACCATATCAGATGATATCAACCTGAACTCGGAGGTAGAAATGGCGGTCGGACTGCATCGGATAGAACTCGGGAGCGCGCCAATCTCTCAGAGACTCGAGTTTTGCAACAGATGCTATGATTGAAACATGACCTTCCTTAGTAAACTTCACCCCATTACCGACGATGTTCAAGATGATTTGCATAAGTCGCTTCTCGTCACCAACGGCACAGACGGGCAAATCCGAGGCCAACATCAACGCCATCGACAGCTTCTTAACCGAAGCAATGGGCTTGATAAGATCCATTGCCTGCAGTTCAAGCTTCATGATGTTAGAACAAGATCTAATGATTGAGACAACCTTGGACTTCAAAACTCACCTCTTTGAAAATAGCATGGAGGTTGAATGATCTTATGTTCAATGCCAAACTACCATCTTCGAGTCTGGAAAGGTCCAAGACATCATTAATCAGTGTGGCTAGAAGATTACTACTCTTAAGTATTGTTTCTATCATCACTCTTTGTTCTGGACTCAGCTCGGTCTCCAAAAGTAGGGACGAAAGAGCGATTGTTGCGTGCATTGGCGTCCTCATTTCATGGTTCATGACAGCCAAGAAGTCGTTACGAGCGTGAACTGCCATCTCTGCTTCTCTTCGAGCTAAATCCAATGCTACGTTTTGGTCCACGAGCTGATCGCGGGCGTGCATAGACTCTTCGAGAATTGCAGCATGTGAAAGAGCTACAGCTACCTATATGGATTTCAAATTCCTGATGGGTGATTAGTACAAGGAAACATGAAGACAAGACAGGAAACAAAAGGAATGTGTGTGTGTGTGTGTTGTTGTGTGGTGCAAACCAGACAATTTTGTCTGAATCTTGAAGACAAGTGATATATGACATGACTTACAAAGTGAAGCATGTTCAATTGCCAAAATCAAAATGTAGAGAGCTGCTCCTATCACTTTTTGTATGGATCGAAGTATAACCAACAAATATGACAGTTTTCGTGTAACAACCTAAGCCTACCGCTAGTAGATATTGTCCGTTTTAGCCCGTTACGTATCATTGTCAGTCTCATGATTTTGAAACGCGTCTACTAGGGAGAGGTTTTCACACCCACCCTTATAAGGAATGCTTCATTCCCCTCTCCAACCAATGTGGGATCTCACAATCCACCCCCCTTGAGGGCCAGCGTCGTCACTGGCACTGCCCGGTGTATGGTTCCGATACTATTTGTAACAGTCCAAGCCCACCGCTAGTAGATATTGTCCGTTTTAGCCCTTACGTATTGTCGTTAGCCTCAAGGTTTTGAAACGCATCAACTAGAGAGAGGTTTCTACACCCTTACAAGGAATGCTTCGTTCCCCTCACCAACTGATATGAGATCTCACAATCCACCCCTCTTGGGGGCCAGCTTCCTCGCCAGTACCGCACAGTATATGGCTCTGATACTATTTGTAACAGCCCAAGCCCACCACTAGTAGATATTATCTATTTTAGCCCGTTACATATCGTCGTTAGCCTCACAGTTTTAAAGCGCGTCTACTAAGGAGAGGTTTCCACACCCTTATAAGGAATGTTGTGTTCCCCACTCCAACCGATGTGGGATCTCACAATCTACCCTCTTGGGGACTAGCGTCCTCGCTGGTACTGTCTGATGTATGGCTTTGATACTATTTGTAACAACCCAAGCCTACCGTTAGTAGATATTGTCCTTTTAGCCCGTTACATATCGTCATCAGCCTCACGATTTTAAAACGTGTCTACTAGGGAGAGGTTTCCACATCCTTATAAGGAATGTTTTGTTCCTCTCAGTTGGGTATCCGTGTCCTAAGTGTCCTAAGTGTCACATGGCTATTCGTGTTCCTCAGCTGCTAACATCCTATCCCAAAATTGGACCTAATTCATACAGTTTATTAGAACTACAGATAACCAACTACTCATGAACTTAACTAACATAAGTTATGCAAAACATGCCAGTTAAGGGGCAGTGTACAGATGCAGTAGAACAATAAATCACACAAAACCTGGTCTGCGACGACGTCGACAAGTTCCAACTCATGATCTCGCCATTTCCGAGCGCTACCAGTAGGAAGAATCAAAACCATTATAGCGTAGCTCCTGGAAGAGCCATCAGGCCAATTGTTCATTTGAAAATTTGAAAGGTTCAAGACAGGAACTCGCACAGCAACAACTTCAGGTGCCAAATATGGAGTCCTGACCTTAGCCAATTGGCAGTTGTAGGGAACACGTATGGCTCGATTACTCTTAAAAACATCATTCACAACAGGAAGGTTTATAGGAATATGAGCTCCCACTGGTATCTGATAGTTCAAGGCATGTGAAAGCTGTAGACTTATGCCAGCCCGTGATGGCATCCACAGAGCACATTCCTCAAGCCCCAACGTCTTTCCCAGCTCGACAAGCGTCGTTTTTAATATCGTATCTCGATCGAGTGTGCTTCTTATTTCATGAGTAAGCATTCTAACATGCCTTCCAGTTTCTTCCTGAGTAAGAATAAGTCCCATTTCCCTGTCAAGTTCTTCAGCCTTGTTCTTAAGGATCAATTCTCGAGTTTTGACACTCAAAAGATCAGGAATAATATGAACAAGCATCAATGCAGTCGAGCACGAAACAATAGCACAAGCAACTTTTGCAACAGTCATCGCCATGGCCACCGTCTTCGAGTGCGTCGAAAACGTCCAAAGGTTGATGAAGTGTGTTGCCCCACAGAGAACAATGAAAGCACCAAATTGCATAAGCACCCATCTGTAAGGAAAGAATGCAGACTTTTGCACAAAATATATGAGCTCCAATGGGATAGAGAAATAAGCTAATGCGATTAGCGCATCTGAGATATACTGATATTTCACTAGAAGTTCATCAGGAGGCCACTGGGTGTCAATGCAATCACAAGACTCCATCATAAGATAAAGGATTTAGCTGAAAATATGAAAAGAAGAGATGATATTAAAGAGTTGTAAGAAACATATGAACTCAGATTATAGCATTCCATGAATTCAGGAAGCACCAATGTTTTGTGTTCTTAGAGATGTAGATGCCCTCAGGTGCACCCATAAATGATCATTTGAAAATGCAACTAAAAATTGTAACCGCTCAAACCCCTCGCTAGCAGATATTGTCCTCTTTGGACTTTCCCTTTTAGGCTTCCCCTCAAGGTTAGAGAGAGGTTTCTACACCTTATAAGGGTGTTATAAGGGATCTCACAATCCACTCTCATTCGGGCCCAACGTCCTCGTTGGCACTCATTCTCTTATCCAATCGATGTGGGCCCCTCTAGTCCACCCCCCTTTGGAGCTCGGTGTCTTTGTTGGCACATCGCCTCGTGTCCACCCCCTTCGAGGCTCAGCCTCCTTGCTAACACATCACTCGGCGTCTGACTCTGATACCATTTGTAACAGCCCAAGCCCACCACTAGAAAATATTGTCCTCTTTGGGCTTTCCCTAAAGTTTTTAGAACACGTCTGCTAGAGAGAGGTTTCCACAACCTTATAAAAAATGTTTTTTTCTCCTCCCTAATCGATGTGGGATCTCACAATCCTCGCTGGCACTCGTTTCCTTATCCAATCGATGTGGGACCCCCCCCTTCTTTTGGAGCCCAACGCCCTTGCTGACACACCACCTCATATCCACCCCCTTCAAGGCTCAACCTCCTCGCTAACACATCGCCTCGTGTCTGGCTCTGATAGCATTTGTGACAGCCCAAGGCCACTACTAGTAGATATTGTCCTCTTTAAGCTTTCCTTTTCAAACTTCCCCTCAAGGTTTTTAAAACGCGCTTGCTAGGTAGAGGTTTCCACACCCTTATAAAGAATGTTTTGTTCTCCTCCCCAACCTACGTGGGATCTCAGAATAACCGTAATCCACCCCAGATTTTTTTTATAAATAAAAAGTTCATGAGGCTCTTAAACCAAAATCCAACAAGATCCAAGGAGTAGTAGATTAATCAGAAGCAATGAGCAAAAAAATGTTTCCACCACTTACTATTTCCCCTTCCTTCAAACTCTCAGCTTATGAACATACAAATGCTTACAGTAACTTGAATCAAGCTCTTGCTGTTCCACCACTCTCATCCATTGAACTTCAGTAGTTCCATTTCTACCTTCCAAATTAAACGCCAATTTCATATACATAAACAACAGACAACAACTACTTTTATGATCCATTTGCAAAAGGGAAGCAAAAACAATAAAACAGCAGCAAAAAGGAGATCAAATCAAATCAAGCATAACAACAAAGAAAAAGGAAATGGGTTGGAAGAGTCTCGTGGATTAAAAGAACAAACATGAAGAAGAACAAGAAGAATAGGAAATGAATGATCATACCGAGTTAAAAGAAGGATCGAAGCGAGGAAAGTGAGGGAGGGCAAAGCTTCCATGTGAAGAAGGTTTGGGAAGATGGGAAGGCAGAGAGTTAATGGTGAAGAGCAGAGGCGACACTGAAAGGCAAAAGAGAGAGGCCTGTGGGCATCACGGACGAAAAGGAGATACGGACGGACAACCGCACGTACGGTGCCTCCTCACCCAAAACGTATGATATTACCTTCCCTTTTCTTGTTTGTATTCACAAGAAAAATGAATATTAACATAATATGTTAGCCATTCTTTAACCCTAAATTTCAAGTTTGATTCAAAAACTTTATATAACTCAATCCAATTTGTGTTCATTCATAGAGTTTAATTAAGAATCGACAACCCATTCACTATCGAGATTGAATAAGTTGGCTGATTTGATGTTTTGAAAAAGTTTTTGAGCGGTTTATAAGAGTTGGGAAACATGGTGGCGCTCTCATTTGCTATTAATCCTTAAAACATCATTCGCTACTAACTTTTGAGTTTTTTAGTTCAAGTAATCAATGTCTTATCTAATTGGCTAATGGATGGATACCGAACATGTTCAACATCGTACAATTATGATCGAGAAGTTGCCATTTTGTGATAACTTGGTGTACACGTCGTCCTTAATGGACAATAGTAACTAGAGGAAATGAGCATGGTAAGAGATATTAGTTAAACCCATAGCTTATAATGTTATAGTGAGTGAGAGACTGGTTGCTTCTCAACAAAAAGGACATTCCATGTTGAAGCTTTACTGAGACAGTAATGGCAATACTAGTGTGTCCCCAAAGAATTGTGAACATTACCCGTCTTCATAATGTGTGTTGGTGTGGATCAGAAGGAAATAAGTTGAGAAGAGAACGGTGGATCATTTCAAAGCTGGTAAATGTGATGGCAGCTGCAGGCGTCGTCCTAAGAAGGTTGGCCGCGCACCCTCGATAGAAACCGGGGAGACCATCTTGCTGAAACACTTTCTTTACGCAATCGGTTACGCCCGAATAACGCTTCTCGGAGTGGAACCCTTGTTCCTGAAGCCTGGAACGTACAACCTGCAAGAAAGAGTGCAATGTCATGGTAGGATCTTGGATGTTTCAAACCCAGATGAGTTCATCTCAATCAGAAAAGTATATGTTCTTGATCTGGATAATATGCAGGAGAAAAGGAGAAAAAATCCCACCTCATGTGGATAAGTCAATGTGGACGCGAATATCTTGGAGACAGATGAGGCGACTGCAACGTCACGAGCGGAGAGTTTATCCGTCGTCGTATTATCTATGATATCACAATGTAAGTTTAGTACTAGCTTTTCCCTGAAGGAGATATCAAATGGGTTATCAAATAGTTACCTCTGCTAGCCAAATAGCTTTTTATTTTCTCGTATGTCGGAAACTGGATCGCGACGTGACTTACACCAGCCAGAGCAGGCACAAGACCACTGTGGAACACCAGTGTTACAGTTGAGCTAATGATCATTATAGTCATTTTCTCCATATAAGATACATAGATCAGATGGAAACATGATAAGAAATAGGGAACCTGTACAATCCACGGATGCCTTCTTCATAGGCTATTCTCTTCAAGGCAGAAACTGTGTTTCTATACGGTAGGACACCAGACTTCATTCCCTGCGTCTATTCCAAGTAGTCATAACTGGACGAGTTAAACGAACCCGATTCATTTGAAATATCTAATAAAAGCTTAATCAGTAAAAAGTATGCAGAAGTAACGGTTCTCTGTAAGCTTTCCCTCAAGGTTTTTAAAATGTGTATGCTAGGGAGAGGTTTCCACACCCTTATAAAGAATGTTTCGTTCTCCTCCCCAACCGATATGAGATCTCACAGTCCACCTCTCTTCAGGGTCCGCGTCCTCGCTGACACTCGTTCCTCTCTTCAATCGACGTGGGATCTCACAATCCACCTCCCTTCGGGGCTCAGCGTCCTTGCTGGCACTCGTTCCTATCTCCAATCGATGTGAGATCTCACATAAGGTCACGTTAGGCATAATAAAAAAACATTGTTAACAAAACTCATGCAACAATTCAATGGACACCTCAATGACCGCTTCGTTCTCTGTGTTTCACCCCCCATGCCTCTCAATCCACAAAGACGAAGATGAATCCTACGTAACAATTTGGAGGAATGCCAGTTAAGCATTTATTAGATCGGTTCGGGATTTACTTCTTCAAGCGCTCTGATGTCTTTCGGTCCTTACAAAACGCAATAAATACTCCTTATACAACATGTTCAAGGGGCAAGGATTGAACAACTCTCTCATGATGGGTTTAATCTTTTTCGATACCATCCCTTTGATAAGAGAACTGCTTCCGATAAGGAAACTACAAGATTTCGGTAAGCTATCTTTCAGATTTCTCAATGGCTAAGGGCCTAAACCTTATTAATAAATTAATTAAGAATATGAGCTTGAAATCCTCACCTGAAGTCTGGTCTTAACAACCCATAGAGGATTAGTTGCAATAGCTGTAGCAGCCCCAGCACCAGATGCAGCCAACATATTAGCACCTATTGAAAGCTGATGCCTTTCATCTGCACATATACCATGAAAATAGATACAGAACGCATACCATGTGAATATCGATGCAAAATGATAAACGTCATTAATTGAAAGAAACGAAAGTAAATGATCAAACTAACCATCAGAGCCAAGAAAACATTTAAGCTGTTCATAGATTGTGAAATAAACCTGCCAATGGAAAATATTGGTTAATATGAAAGATATTGAAGCGGGGAATGAAGCATTCTTTATAAGGGTGTGGAAACCTCTCCCTAGCAGACACGTTTTAAAACCTTGAGGGGAAGCCCGAAAGGGGAAAGCCCAAAGAAGACAATATCGAGGTAGTATTCGTTTGAAGGTTTACTACACCGATAAGGAGGTAATGCAAACACAATAGACAACATTGAAGCAGCTAATATTGTTTTAAAATCCAAGTTTCAAGAGATTTTGGATATAAACAAGATTCAGGACTTACAGCCCAGTTAGGAAGTAGTGCAAGCACAGTAGGTGAGAGTCCTCTATACATTCCACGCAGCCCCTCCGCATGAGCAATTTGTTTCAGACTACCAAGTATGAGACTCCCTGTACAGATAAAACAGAACAAATTCATTAAAAATGCATCACAAGTCATCAATGCACGATAACTAAGACAATTATGGTCATACCTTTTCCAATGTTTGGCAGTCCATGAACCTGAAATCTAGTCTTAATAACATCCAAAGGGCACACAAACGTAGCAGCAAGAACTCCTACAACAGAATCCAGAATCCAGTTCAAAAAGTTCTCTCAAGCCAAGAATCAAATGCTTAATCATCTAACAAACTAGGTGATAGTGTATTCAAGAAGTATGAATCTCAAGCAACAACTAAATCTTCCAGTTTCATATCCCACAAAATTTACACCCAAATATAGATAAGCATCTCAATCGAAAAGAAAAAGAATCAAAGGGATGCAAATACCAGCAGCGGCACCAGCTCCAGCATTACAGAGAAGAGCCCTCGGAGTAGGGGAATGAGAGTCGGTAGCCATGGCAGTATTTAATCAAATACCCAGAAGAATAAACAGTGATTTGAGCGCAAAAATCACCAAAATAACCCTCTTTCGAGAGGCGGATCTCGAAAAACCAGAGTCGCATGGCCAGAACAAGAAGAGAGGAAAGTCAAGTCGATTGGTGCGGGGACTCTTGTATTCGTTAAAGAGAAGGAAAGTAATCGGAAACTGAGAAGAAGTAGAAGTGGATATTCATACGAAACTGAAGGATATTCATTCGTGGATCAGAAATTGCGAGAGATTAAACAAAAAGAGGAACAAATTTATGGGGGCCCTCTGGTTTCTTCGCTAATCTCGTTGTCGTCGTTCAGCCGAAAAAACCTCACCCGGTTGCGGCCCGACGAGACGACTCGCCGCAAATGGGTCCTGAAATGAAATCTGATTTCAGCCATTCAATTCCATTTTGGTCTCTAAGTACCACACATATTAAATTCTTTTTATATATGCTTTCGTGTTATTTTATTTTATTGTCGTATTTAGGGAATTATAACTATTTATTTGTATAAACTAAATCAACCGAAAGAGATGAACACAATTGACTGACCATTGCATAATTCTTATAAACACCAAAAATCTTTTATTTAATCTAAGCATTTGTGGTGTACACTTAGACTTCACGCTCAAAAATCTAATATTATACATAACATTTCAAAATTTTCCGACAAGTCCTCGCTCTCTATAAGAAAATAAATGAAGTATAAAAGAACTAAAAGAACTTACGCCCCCTCGGGTCGAAGTTTTCGTATCAACCACTTTCGTCGTAATTTGACATCCAATGCGATAAACGTTTTTGCCTTCTTTTCATCCTCAAGGAGATCACAAGCATCCAATACAAGGTCCTCATCCATGTTTGGCAATGCTTGGATAGCTTCAATTACTGTCTCAATCGAGATGGAACTCGAGTTATCGTCGTTTTTCTTCTTGTCTGATAAGGAAGAAACGAAGCTTGCCATCTCTCGAAGGGCACTCGCCATGCTCTCATCTTCACCTCTTAGCTTCTTGTTATGATCGAAACTAGACATGCTTTCTAATTCCCTCTTGTTCTTTGGACCTAAATGTGTTGATTCCTTCTCACTTGCTTGTTCTTCACTTGAAACTGATGTAATAGGAGACTGGAAACCTATTGAAAGTTTTCCGTCCTCGGCGTCGTGGTGCTGCTCTATACCTTGTCCTGGAGAGCACTCTCTTTCGTCAAAACTCGGATCGCAGATCACACACAGATCCTTATAATATGGCACTGGCCGTGTCATGAATTGTCGAGCGTCTGTATGTGCCTACCATTCAGCAACAAAACTAGTTAAGAACTATGCTAATATTCTAAACAGCACAAAATACTGAATTTGGGTCCACTTTTATAACTACTACATCGTATCATAATGACATGGCTTTAGAATGAATTCTCCCACAACTATAGTTAAAGACTTTACTTATGCTGACTGTGTAACGGCCCAAGCCCACCGCTAACAGATACTGTCCTCTTTGGACTTTCCTTTTTTGGCTTTCCTTCAAGGTTTTAAAACGCGTCTGCTAGGGAGAGGTTTTCACGCCCTTATAAAAAATGTTTTATTCTCCTCTCCAACCGATGTGGGATCTCACAATCCACCCCTCTTCAGCGCCCAGCGTCCTCGATTGGAGAAATCGAAACCTCTACCAAGTGGATTGTGAGATCCCACATCGGTTGGGGAGGAAAACAAAGCATTCTTTATAAGGGTGTGGAAACGTCTCTCTAGCAGATGCATTTTAAAAACCTTAAGGGGAAGCCCAAAGAGAACAATATCTGCTAGTGGTGGGATTGGATCGGGCGATGTGCCAGCAAGGAGGCTAAGCCTCGAGGGGGGATGGACACAAGGCAATGTGCCAGCAAGGACGTTGGGTCCCGAAGGGAGTGGATTGGAGGGTCCCACATCGATTGGAGAAGATAATGAGTGCCAGCGAGGACGCTGGACCTCGAAACGGGTAGATTGTGAGATCTCACATCGGTTGGGGAGGAGGACGAAACAAAATATTCTTTATAAGGGTGTGGAAACCTCCCCTAGCAGACGCATTTTAAAAACTTCAAGGGGAAGCCCGAAAGAAAAGGCCTAAAGAGGAGAATATCTGCCAGTGGTGGGCTTGAGCAGGCAGTTTTTGGTGAAAACTAATCTACATAATATGGTTACCTTCAAAACCCCACAACAGTTCTTTTATGTTCAAATTCAATGAGCAAAAGTTCAGTATGATCAACCGCAGCCAACATGTTCATGTGCAAATCTATGAACAACAAACAACAAAGTCCGCAGGCAAATAAAAATAGAATTGCTGAGCTAATGTGTAGTTCGCTTACCTTGATATAGTCTTGCCAAATGTAATCGTCTGCGGTAATCATTTGACGTGTCTCGTCCCAGAGAAATCCGTCCAAGTCTAATAGATTCTTTATAACATTATACTGTCTCCTCAGAGTTTTGTACCTATTCTTCAACACATCCACATCATAATGGAAACCAAACTTAGCATTGAATGATGCAATCATCTCAGCCCACGAGTGTTTCCGAAAAATCCCATCTATTTGGTTGCCTTTCTGCACTTGCTCCAACATAAGGTCTATGAAGAATCTGTCCATAGGAGGCTGCCAATACGTTCGGGAACGAGAAATGGCTGTGGTTGCTGTATTTGACATTTGTGGTAGCTCATCAACATCTCCAGACACAGAAATTTTATAGTCTTCACCGATCATGATTCCATTAAGTACTTCAACATCTCCCTCACTGGCTGTCCCCAGCGGCTTTGTATACATCGTCTCATTATCACCAGAATGAGACGACTCCTGCGAATAAATCCCTGATGACCCATAATTAACAAGCAGAACAACAAAATAATTGTGTGCTATAATATTGTCTAAGTAAAGATGATTACCTTTTTGTCCGACTGTCGCGCCTCCATATATTATACACAGATCATTGTAATATGGGATGCTCTTAATTCTAAAAGATCGTGCCTCGGGGTGTTCCTGGGAACAAGATATTTAAATTCTTCGAACTTTAGGTAAGAAAGAAGAAAACAAAATAAAGAAATATAGAAATGCTTTCTACAAATTTGCTGAATTCATCATCAAAACCTTAACATATTCATCCCAGACATGATTCTCAGCAGTCACCATTTGCCGCACTTCGTCCCAGCTGAAACCCCTCTGATCAAGGAGATTCTTCACAGCTTTGTACAGATTCCTCAACGTTTTATGTCGATTCTTCAAAACATCCTTTTCATACTCGAATTTGAATTTTGCATTGAACAGAGAGATCATAAATCTCCACGCTCGTTTACTGAACAAATGCTCGTCAAATCTGTTCCCTTTGTTAACTTGTTCCAGCATAAGGTCTATGAAATATCTATCCATTTCAGGCGTCCAAACTGTTCTAAGCCGATCGTTACTATTCCGTGTCTGGACACCCATACTGCTATCATTGTAGCAAGGCATCAGTCTAATGTACATAACTCAAACACATGATCTACTTGCAATTACAATAACTTACATTCAAACAGTATCTTTAAGCATATTGGTTCTAAAATAACTTCAATAGTAATAAGTTTTTCCATAACAATTTGATATTGGTTCTACACTCAAACTCACAAAGAACTGGTATATTACTTCTGATTTAGAGTGGGAAATAGTGAAGGATACAGCAAAAAATTAACACTGGACTGTTCATACTTCCTTATGTTTCCCATAAATTCCTCAAAATCATTGAAATCTCCTTCGAACAGAGCAATCCAAGAGGAAGCCAGTCCACAAGGGTAAATAACTCGATTATGCAACTTCAAAGCTCCATGGAAGAGCAGAGAGAGAATCAAAAAGTCATGCCATCATTCCAATACTCGAAGGAAAGCAAAATCGACAACAGAATTCAATTGACTTCAATCGAAGACATAAATGAACAAGCAAAATCAAAGAATCTAATAGCGAAGATGAATTGTGTTGATGGAATGAATGGAAACGCACCTCGAGAGTGAGAGCCGATGATGGAGCTTCGGTAAGTGTTGGAGAGGAATGGGAATTTTGGGGATGAGATTTTCCTGGATAAGCCGATGAGAAACTGGTTTGTGGATTTCGGGAAAACCCTAGCTGGAGTAAGATTTTGACCCGGGTTAGAACTGGCCCCAACCGGATTTTGTAAACCGGGATAGGATTGCCCTCATCTCCACTAGATTCTACGCTTCTGCTTGAATCCAACCACTTTTATTTGTTTATTTATTTATGAGATATTACATCATAAATACAATTATTATTATTTTTTTTTTTGCTGCTGCTTGTTTAATTGTCGCATTTCACTCTTAGTATCCTCATTCGATGCAGCTTTATAGTTCATAATTGAACGTTACTTGCAAAATGTGCATCACGTACGATCTTAGTTTTTGATGAAAGAGATTGTTTCTCGAAAACGATGTATATCGTGACACAACAATGCTAAAGGATAAATCTCTCTTTCACGCTCGCTTCGAATCTTGCTCCTCTTCAATTTCTGACCCCATATTCTGGGTGAGCCATGAGGGAATATTTCCGCGATAATGGAATACAAGCATTAATAGTCTATGATGATCTCAGTAAACAAACAGTGGCATATCGACAAATGTCATTATTGTTAAACTTGCTATACTCTTGCCTAGCAGGTAAAGATTTAACTCCGAAAGTTTTTGTCGTCGTTAAAGTCGAGAGAAAAGTCTCTAAAACCCTCGAGCTACTTACTCCTTCACCTCTCCAACTCGACTTCTCTTACCTCTTTCACCTATCAGATCTTATCTTAGGATGACTTACAGGTTCTTCGGTAGCTCTTTTCTTGAATGAGGTAAAGCTAGTTGAAGAACCTTTACAATGGAGACCAACCCCACGTGGACGATACAGAAATTAGGTATAACACAACTGTTGCTGAGAACACCAGACACTTGGAACCTAGCACAAGAGACATAATGCTTACACTTTCTAACCATATTTACGAAGCCAAATTCATATATTCCTACGTCGTGTTCCCATTACAGTAATATGGAGGTTGAAATAAACACTAATCATAATACCATTTCCTACAAATATGATATAGCATCCCTCTTCTTCTGCCTTTGTGATGTCTATTATAAATTGTCGACTAAGATGACAGAGAAAACTAGCCCCCGTACGAAGTCCGATCTCCGAGTCTTCTCTTCTTGGTTCGTGTCTGGTAGAGAAGGTAACCCGACATCCCTACATATGCATATTTAACGTCATTAGGTTGGAGAGGATGAGTTTTAGGATATGAGGCATCTCCATCACAGAAGTTACAAGAGTTGCTACGAATGAAATGACAGTAAGGAGAGCAAAAATAACTCGACCAACACAAACAACTCGATTCGAATATAAAGGCATGAAACTGAAACAGGATCATTTTACAGTTCAATGACAGTATAACTCCAAAGCTACAATGACCCTGTATGACCCTAAAAGGAAAATGGAAACCAAAATAAAACTGGAACGTAGCTCGAACCATGAGTTTAGAAAGCGAGTGGAACTAAATATTTAAGCCTATAACTCCTGACATATCTTTGAACTATTCGTCATTAGCTGCACGATCGACGAAGTGCGTAAGTTTATAATATCCTTAAACATATTGTGACACTCACAACAGTAACTCAGGGTTATTTAAGCTCGTAGGAGAAGCAGGACATCTCTGAGCTTATACAAAAAACATTTTAAATAACAAACCAAAATGCATGCCTAAGAAGCAGAAAAAATCATAATTATGATGAACAGATGCAGGTACAAAGTGTGTAAGTTTCAAATCAGATCAAACACATCATCTTTTAATATAAGAGGCATCGAGAAGCATATTTCTGTGCTTACCTTTCCGACAGTGTATCGTCTAAATCTTTTTCCTCCATTTTTTCTACACCTGAAGGTCCGGGGCGAACAGTTTCAGACTCATTGATGACAGGTGCATTGCATAAAAATGACAGCAATGGATCAGGTGCCATCTTGGAGGTGGAATGCAGAGAAGAAAACCCAGAAAGAGTTCTTACATGATCATCTAGTAACTCTTTCCTCTCGAAAGAAAGACTTTGAGGGAAATCGTCTTTATCAAATTTCAATCTTTGTTGACTGTAATCTCAAGTTAAGGAAAAGAACGTATGGATTCGGATATAAACAAGAAACCAAACAACATACAAAGGAAAAACATCTGAGAGCTTTACAAAATTGGGGAAACTTAACTATATCGAAACAATGAAAGAAAAGGATATATTAAATATATCTCCATGTTGCATCGTTATATGTCCAACCATATTCTCTCCCACGCTTGTAGAACAAATAGGACATATCTGAAAATGCATGAAACCAAATGCATAAAAAACCACAAAAAAGACGAACAAATTTCAAAAGATGGTATAGAAAGATCATAAAAGCATGCAGAAAATGTTAGGATCGCACAACAATGTTCACACTCGATCTAGATGAGCACAAAGAACATGGGAGAGAGAAAATGCAAGGAGGAATATTGGCTAAAGGATTAGATTGATGACTTCAAGTACATACCTAAAGTCATCAATACAAATCCTTTAGCCAATATTCCTCCTTACTTTTTTTCTTTCTTGTTTTTCGTGTTCATCTAGATCGAGTGTGTGCGTTGTTGTGCGATCCTAACAAAAAATCTACTCCCCAAAAAGATCTTTAAACTTTCAACGCTGACACCGACATAATAATCATTCACGAACATTCTTGAGCGGAGGCAAGACGAGCACACAAGTATAACATCCATGGGAGGAAAAATAAAATCTAAAGGAAAATACCACCACGTTACCACGTTATCCGAGCTACAGACAACCATAGCAATCTAATTTTCCAGGTCAAGTCCAATAGAACAATACATTAGGCAACAGAGCAGTACCAACATCTGATATTAGTAGGTGGGTTAATGATGATAAAGTCTATAACAACGAGTAAGAGGATAGATCAGAAAGGGGCTTCTTATAGTCATGAAACAAGTTTCAACAAAAACTTGAAATGAAAAACTTGCACAATAAGATCAAAAGCACTAAACGTTAACAAACAACAGGACAATGCCTTGAACTTGAAGTTCAAACTCACTCAAAGAAGACAATCAAAATAAGAACTCTGTAAGAACTATGAACTGACCCAAATCTCGAGGGTCAGAAAATGCAAGCAAGTTTTTGGTTGATACCACATATCAAGGGAAATATTTCTAATCTCTTACTAAAAAATAGAAGAAGTTAAGAGATTTTCTTACTCCAAACTTGGCTTCTACGGGATGTTCGTCATCAATATGGCAGCATAACTCAACCAAATCAAATTCCTCAGGACAAAACGGGCAAGGATATTCCGAATTCAAATCATCATCCCCATCCACTTCCTCGTAATCAAAATAAAAATCTACAAAACCAAACAGAATTCATTCAAACCAAAAACCCCCAAAAACAAAACCTAAACCACAGAAAATGAGTAAATTAAGATCGAGAAAAGACTAACGCGACTGGGATTTTAACTGAGAGTTCCTCAAAGCATCAGCAACAGCAGAATCAGAGAATCCATAGCTATAAGCTTCACTTTCCATTCTCAAATTCAAAAAAAAAAAACCCCAACACGAATTCGATTCAGGGGTCAGAAACCGTACGAAACGTGGATGAATTCTTCAACACCCTTCGCCGAAATCTCTTAAGCGGCACCGTTCGTGGTTCTTGAAGAAAAGACGAAGAAATTAAGTAGCTCTCGCTCGCGATTGAGGAGTTATAAGGTCAACGAGATTTGGCTGGTGATCCCTTAGCGAACACGATTTCTGACTCTGAGATGACCAAGAAAGAAACTCCCGCGTTTTACCGTCAAACAACCAGGGACCGCCGATTATGGATTAGGACTCCTATTCCCCTTTTTGCCCTCATCAGAACATTACTGAAAATCTCCCGTGATATATTGTTGGGGAAAAAGTAGCGGGGTTATTATTGTCTTTTCGTATTGTTTGCCGTCTTACAACCTTTTCATAAAAGAAATCTAAAAAAACAAAATAAAAAACAAACATTTAATTTAGTTTTCTTCGACACGTTTATCTATATAATTTCAATTTTAAATTATGTATTTATTAACATTTAGTTCTTTTTATTTTAGTATTTTTAACAACTTCAAAATTATTATTTTTAAATTTATATTTATTTGTTAAATAATTAATAAAAAAATTAAAGTTAAATTTCGAAATTTTAGAGAGTTTAATAAATTTTAAACTTTAAAGAATTGGATGACATTTATGTTATTGATGAATTAAATATATTTTGTTGATAAAAAAATATGAGAATTTCAGAAAGAAAAATAAAAATGGCTTGAAATTACTTTTTTAGTATGAGAATTAAATTAAATTATATATTAAAAAAGAAAAAAGGTAATATATTAAGTATGAGCCCATTCAGGCCCAATTATGAGAAGCCTAGTCCGCTCACAGGCCCAATTATGAGAAGCCCATTCCACGACTGTTCAATTAATTTTATTTTTATTTAAATAATAGTTTTGAAATATTTTTCAAAGATAGAATATTTTTTTTATAAGTATGCATTTTATAAAACTTAAAAATAACTTTAAAAAAGAATTTTTTTTAAATGGAGTAATTGATTTAGATTTGATTTAGTTATTTGAATTAAACTGAATTCCGTATTACCAGATTTGGTGGGATTTGATTTGTTTTCGATGTATTCTGTAATACTGTATAAGAGTCAATTTCATTGTTCAATTTATCTGATCTTTACAGTTTTCTATTTAATTCTTCGATAGAATGTGAGATTCGTTCCGATTGATCTGATCTTTCCAGTTTTGTCTCTGTGTTCCTAACAAGTACGAGTATTTTCTAACATAAAATAAATTAAAAACATAGGAATAAATCAAGATAAACTAAAACTCGACCTACAATAAAGGTCTAAACAAGTTGATATAGACTCTCGGTTAACAAACATCCCACAATTCGACTCGTACATTCTGATTTGTAGACTCTTGATTAACAAACGTCTCACAATTCGATTAATACAGATTTTTTTCTAAAAAAAATGTTGAATATTAAAAATATTAAAAATCGAATCAATAAGAGTATACTGAGTTATTTTTAGTTTTTTTAATAAAAAAAATCTTTTTT